AATGAAAGATAAAATGAACAAGCTGCCATGTATTTTATGATTTTACAAGCTGCCATGTGTTTTATGATTTACAGCTCGAAAATTCTGTATTTCGCAATTGCTTTTCCAAGTTGCTCGATATATTATAATATTAACTATAATAATACCGTTTCATGTGTATAGAAAGATCTTTTTTGAAAGATTCAACATTGCTCTGATGCAATTATTACTTTCTGGCAAATTTTTAGGGGGGTTGAGGCCCCCCAGTAAGATTTCTTGGGGGGGCCGAACCCCTCAGTCCCCCATACTCTATGCCTATGCTTGTTCTCATGATTATTTACATGGAGAAAGAATCAAATAAATCATTATCACAATCAATTTTAAATACAATAACTAATTACCTGAAAAATATTGAATGTATTGAAAATATTGATCGTTTTAGAATTTAGACATGCAGTATCAATAATATAAAATTGTACGGTAAATTGTGCGCAAATCAGGGGGGGCATTCGGCACGCCCAGTACGCGGAAAACCTGGGAACGAGGATAGATTTCGGAGAAGAAAGGCGAAGGAAGGAAAGCCCGGAAATTTTTTTTTTCTATGTTTTAAAGAGAAACTATAAAGTTATTTTAATGAAGTGAAGCTTGTTGAGAAAAAGATATTCCGATTATAAGTATATCTAGATATATATCTCATAAGCGTGTTTTTTGTTTCCTGCCTTTTTTGATATGACTTCGTCCTCGCGCATCGAATGTTGGAATTTTCTGAATATTTTTTCGGTCGATTTCTTTCGCATTAGTTCAACGTTTTAGAGTAAGAATGTTTGTTATGCCCAAGCATTTATTTCACGTAAATGACGTTCATTTGTTCTGCTTTGTTAGATTAAAAGTCCAGCGAGAAATGAAGTGAAAGGCGATTTGAAAACCACGAGGTAAGGCAGTAGGCCGCCATTTTATTATATTTTCGTACTTTTTTTAATAGTGTGTTGTTTTTGTTTTATTTTAACATTCTATGCCCCAACCGAACACTTCAGTAAGGGTGCAGTAGTTTTAAGAAAGATTTGTGGTTTAATTTTATTAAAAAATCCGCCTTCAGTCGAGAGGCGAGAGGAATGGCGAATCATTTCAGACCATGTATTCGGTTTTGACATAATTGTGGGACATGTGTTGCCAAATTGGTTTGTATTTTGAAACATTCGATTAAGTGCTGAGAAAAGAAATGGAAAACTACTTCTTTAAACCCCGTTTTTGTTTTTGCCAAGGCAGGTTGATGCATGTAGTTTGATATATGGGAGGGGTCAGCACCATTTAGTAGCCTTAGAATGAGGGGAAGTAGAATTGTTTAAACGTTGATTCAATGTTGTTTTATCAGAGTCTGATGTTAATATTTTGTGTTTCAGATTATTTTTGCCAATGTTTTGATCTGAAGGTTTAAAGAACCACTTTTACAATATTGGAGATATGTAGTGGAATAAATGCCTGGAAAGACAATTATTGTCTGACAATATAAACTATAAATTGAAACCGGAATGCAATGATAAGAAAGGGAAATATGGAATAAATGCCTGGAAATACAATATAAACTATAATTTTAAACTGGAATGCAATGATAAGAAAGGGAAATAAACTATTGCTAAGTCTAAAGAACCACTGAAGCTGAAGAATTGAGATACAACAATCTTTGACTGACTTTAGGTGTAAGACGTTCGCCCAGCTATTGTAGACCGCATGGAATCGATTCAAGTCCTTTAAAAATTTGTGAATCAAGATGAGAATGAACTTAGTAAATCTGTAATTGCTGCTATATGTTTTGGCTAAAATATAAAAAAACTGTTGTATGTCTCAAAACAAAGGAGCTGATATCTATGATACCAAAAAGTACAGGATTGTTTGACATCAGAAATACAAAGAATTCGGCACACAGAGACAATTCACCTTTTAAAACGAAACCAAAAAACTAGAAGCAAAAAACAAATTGTGCTTCAAAACAAAACTAGAATGCACTGCTTTTAAAAGGTTGAAATATAGGAAAGGACAACTTTTTTCTAGGCGTTTAGTGATTCGTTTATAGTAACATCGCTCACGATGATGTTCGGAGTTGATCGGCATGTTGTCGTACATTATCATACCAGGTGATCTGCTAAGATCACATGGTAATTATTGCCTATGAAACTAATCTCAACGTTAAAAAAAATTTTCTTTAGATTGGTGGCGATCGAAGGTGGACAGCAAGATCGAAGCTCAGCAAGATTGAAGATTGTTCGAAGAAGAAGGAGTTCGCCGTTGACTAAAAGGTGGGTTCCGGCGATTATATGCGTAATCTGCGGTTGCTTTGTCCGACCCCAGTAGGGGGACCGTTTGCCTAGAGCGTTTTGGTCCCCCGCACGCTGCTAGTTCCCACTTGTAGGCCTTTACACTAATCTACGGGAAGGCCGTAGGCCTTCCTTAAGGAGTACAGTGTAGCTGAGCCGAACCCTTTTTTTTCGTTTTATATAGGTTTATCTGAACAGCTAGTTGTCGAGATGAATGCGAAGACGCCCGGCCAAATTCAAAATGGCGATGCCAAAGAAAACCATCCACCTGGACCGTTCGCAGACCTTTCTGGGCAAGATTGTTGTGCTGTCTGGTCAAAGTTAAGTATTTTACTTTGATGTTTGTGTGCCTTCGGCTAATTGTTGGCCAGAAATGACAAAAAGCCATATACAATATGAAATATTCTGCGTACAAGGTTATCTAAAATTTCGAACTTAATTCTGCCTGCAATGATGATAATCTTTACTGAAAATTTATGTCATGAGCAACTTCCGCACCTATAGACTGAAGCAGAACTGAACATTTTGTCATTAACGTTTATCTCAACAGCCAGTTATCAAGACGAACGTCAAGAGAACAGTTGAAATAGAAAATAGAAATCAGTTCAAGACTCGCCGCCGCCGAATTCAAATTGGCGATCCCATACACGTGGACCGTTCGCGGACCTTTCTGAGCAAGATTGTTGTGCTGTCTGGTCAAAGTTAAGTATTTTACTTTGATGTTTGTGTGCCTTCTGCTAATTGTCGGTCAGAAATAAAAAAACCATATACAATATGAAATATTCTGCGTACAAGGTTATCTAAAGTTTCGAGATTTTTTGCCTGCAATGATGATAATTTTTTACTGAAAATTTATGTCTTGAGCAATTTTCGTACCCATAGACTGAAGCATAACTGACGATTTTGTCATTAACGTTTATCTCAACAGCTAGTTATCAAGACGAACGTCAAGAGAACAGTTGAAATAGAAATCAGTTCAAGACTCGCCCGGCCGAATTCAAAATGGCGATGCCGAAGAAAACTATACATGTGGACCGTTCGCGGACCTTTCTGAGCAAGATTGTTGTGCTTTCTGGTCAAAGTTAAGTATTTTACTTTGATATTTGTGTGCCTTCTGCTAATTGTCGGTCAGAAATAACAAAAAACCATATACAATATGAAATATTCTGCGTACAAGGTTATCTAAAGTTTCGAGATTAATTTTGCCTGCAATGATGATAATTTTTTACTGAAAATTTATGTCTTGAGCAATTTTCGTACCCATAGACTGAAGCAGAACTGAAGATTTTGTCATTAACGTTTATCTCAACAGCTAGTTATCAAGACGAACGTCAAGAGAACAGTTGAAATAGAAATCAGTTCAAGACTCGCCCGGCCGAATTCAAAATGGCGATGCCGAAGAAAACTATACACGTGGACTGTTCGCGGACCTTTCTGAGCAAGATTGTTGTGCTTTCTGGTCAAAGTTAAGTATTTTACTTTACTGTTTGTGTGCCTTCTGCTAAAACTAGAAAATAATTAAGGTAGTTAAATCCAATTTATATTAATAATGTCTTATTATATTAAAGATTTTCCTTGGTCAACATTGGAAGTGAACAAGATTTCTGCACAGAGGTAATTCGATTGTTTCTTCTAAATTTATATTAGCCTTGCAGCTCAAATTCTTGTCACTACCTTGTAATACATATCAACTGCCTGGGTATGTATTTTGTTATTTCAATAGTATAAGAGGGAATTTGCTGCAACTAGGATCTTTTTTATGAAAATCGTCAGTGCGGTCACAATTTGGTTAACATTACTAAGTGAACTTTGCATCTATACTCACTATGTGTCACCAGTAATAAATTCCTGTGCTGGTCTTTGAATAAATATAGCAACCATAGTTATATAGAGGGATGAAGTAACCATAGATACCTGACGAAAAACTAGACAATAATTAAGATAGTTGAAAATGGAATTTTGTATTAATAACTTCTTTATATATCAAGATTTTCCTTGATTAAGAGTGCAACCAGCTACATTAGCTGCTGTGGATATGGACTTTACTGTCAGAGGAAATTGGAAGTGAACAAGATTTTGCAGAGGTAATTGATTGTTCCTTCAAAATTTATATTAGCCTTGCAGCTGAAATTCTTGTAGTGACTTTGTAATACATATCAACTGCCCGGATATTTTTGTTATTTTTATAGGGGGAATTTGCTGCAACTAGGATCTTCATGAAAATCGTCAGGCAGTCACAATTTTGTTAAGATTATGAAAGTGAACTTTGCTTCTATACTCACTATGTGTCACCAGTAATAAATTCCTGTGCTGGTCTTTGAATAAATATAGCAACCATAGTTATATATAGAGGGATGAAGTAACCATAGAATACCTGACGAAAAACAAGACAATAATTAAGATAGTTGAAAATGGAATTTTGTCTTAATAATAACTTCTTTATATATTCAAGATTTTCCTTGATCAAGAGTGCAACCAGCCACATTAGCTGCTGTGGATATGGACTTTACTGTCAGAGGAAATTGGAAGTGAACAAGATTTTTGCAGAGGTAATTTGATTGTTCCTTCAAAATTTATATTAGCCTTGCAGCTGAAATTCTTGGTGACCTTGTAATATATATCAACCGCCCAGATATATTTTTTGTTATTTAGTATAAGGGGAATTTGCTGCAACTAGGATCTTCATGAAAATCGTCAGGCAGTCACAATTTTGTTAAGATTATACAGTGAACTTTGTTTCTATACTCACTATGTGTCTCCAGTAATAAATTCCTGTGCTGGTCTTTGAATAAATATAGCAACCATAGTTATATAAAGAGGGATGAAGTAACCATAGAACACCTGACGAAAAACTAGACAATTTAAGATAGTTGAAAATGGAATTTTGTCTTAATAATAACTTCTTTATATATTCAAGATTTTCCTTGATCAAGAGTGCAACCAGCCACATTAGCTGCTGTGGATATGGACTTTACTGTCAGAGGAAAATTGGAAGTGAACAAGATTTTTGCAGAGGTAATTTGATTGTTCCTTCAAAATTTATACTAGCCTTGCAGCTGAAATTCTTGTAGTGGCCTTGTAATATGTATCAACCGCCCAGATATATATTTTGTTATTTAGTATAAGGGGGAATTTGCTGCAACTAGGATCTTCATGAAAATCGTCAGCCAGTCACAATTTTGTTAAGATTGCTAAGTGAACTTTGCTTCTATGCTCCCTATGTGGTCACCAATGATAAATTCCTGTGGTGGGCTTTGAATAGATATAGCATTTTATAGAGCGATGAAGTAACCATAGAATGCGTGACCAAAAACTAGACAATAATTAAGATAGTTGAAAATGCAATTTTATATAATCATGTGTTCTTGTAATATTCAAGATTTTCCTGGTCAAGAGTGCAACATGAGTCGTGGATATGAACTTTACTGTCAGATGTACATTGATTGGAAAGTGAACAAGATATCTGCACTGAGGTAATTTGATTTTGTCATGGATGGCCAGCATTTGATTTTAAAAAGCCACTACATTGTTGAGATGACAACAATCAAATTGAAATTTGCTTCTATGGTCACCATGTGTGAAACCAATGATGAAACTTAATGCTATAACAGCTGAACAAGTCTGGCTGATTACTATAATTCCTGTGGTGGTTTTACAATAAATATCCATGAAAAGACCAGCAATTACTATTTTTAACTTGGGAGAAATTTTTCTGATTTCCATGTGATTTATTTTCAGTAGTACTCAGAAGGGTGGTACCCAGTTTTTCTGTGTTCAAATTAAATAGTGACATATTTCTGGGTTGAATATATGCATGTGACACATTCTTTTATTGAAAATAGCTAAAATATAATTGGCATAAAACAAAATGCATTCACGAATGTATTGTCTATCCATGAAAGATGGCTAAAGTAAGATAATGAGTAATATCTTTTGATAATGATGTCAGCTTTGAAAATACAACTTTTTGCCTAAAAGGATTGATGAAATGCTTTTTCTCTTTAGAATGAATGAAGTTGAAGAAAGTTGAAAGGCACCCCAGAAGAACCTGAATTATTTTAGCCCTATCCTAGATTCATTGAATATTTTAGTGTGTGATAACATGTGTGAAATGTTATCAATTATGTGACAATTTTCAAAACTTGGATTTATAAAGATAAATTTTTCTTTGTAAAGTTTAAGAAGTAAACCTTTTTGTCTGGTGGTGTTGGTGTTTTTTGCATGTTTTTCCCTGTGCTTTCACAATTGAAAATATTTTAGCAGTTGCTTTTGGCTTTTTCTCATACTTCTTTTCTCTTTAATTTCTTCTTAGTATTAGTATTTTTTCTAAATATATTTTCTCTTATTTTTTTTGATGAAATTCTTTTTTTCTTTGGTGTTGAAGAAAGTTGAAAGGCACCCAATTTCATTGATTAATATTTTTTAGTGTGAAATGTGATGAATTATGTGACAATTTCAAAACTTGGATTTATAAATCTTTTTTCTTTGTAAAGTTTAAGAAATAAACCTTTTTCGTCTGATGGTGTTAGTGTTTTTTTTTGCAAGTTCTTCTGTGTGACTTGACAATTCTAAATTAAGCCTCTTAGTATTTTTTAGTATTTTCTAAGTTAAACCTATTAGTATTTTTCTAAGTCAAACCTATTAGTATTTTCTTCGATTGCTCTAGTTTTTTTCCTCTAGTTTTTTCTTCTATTTCTCTTTTTTTTCTTTTATTTATCTAGTTTTTTTTGTTTTCTCTTGTCTTTTTTCTCTAGTTTTTTTCTGTAGTTTTCTTGTTAGTTTTCTTGTTGGATTTCTGTAGTTTTTCTTGTTGGATTTATAAATCTTTTTCTTTGTAAAGTTTAAGAAATAAACCTTTTTCGTCTGATGGTGTTAGTGTTTTATTTTGCAAGTTCTTCTGTGTGACTTGACAATTCTAAATTAAACCTCTTAGTATTTTTAGTATTTTCTAAGTTAAACCTATTAGTATTTTCTAAGTCAAACCTATTAGTATTTTCTTCGATTGCTCTAGTTTTTTTCCTCTAGTTTTTCTTCTATTTCTCTATTTTTCTTTTATTTATCTAGTTTTTTTGTATTTTCTCTTGTCTTTTATTCTCTAGTTTTTTTCTGTAGTTTTTCTTGTTAGTTTTCTTGTTGGATTTCTGTAGTTTTTCTTGTTGGATTTATAAATCTTTTTTCTTTGTAAAGTTTAAGAAATAAACCTTTTTCGTCTGATGGTGTTAGTGTTTTTATTTTGCAAGTTTTTCTGTGTGACTTGACAATTCTAAATTAAACCTCTTAGTATTTTTAGTATTTTTCTAAGTTAAACCTATTAGTATTTTTCTAAGTCAAACCTATTAGTATTTTCTTCGATTGCTCTAGTTTATTTTCCTCTAGTTTTTTCTTCTATTTCTCTATTTTTTCTTTTATTTATCTAGTTTTTTTTGTATTTTCTCTTGTTTATTCTCTAGTTTTTTTCTGTAGTTTTTCTTGTTAGTTTTCTTTTCTCTGGTTTTTTCGTCTATTTCTCTAGTTTTTTTCTATTTTTCTACTTAGTTTTTTTCTCTAGTTTTTTCCTAAAGTTTTTTCTTGTTTTTTTCTCTACTTTTTCTAGTTAGTTTTCTTTTCTCTGGTTTTTCTTCTATTTCTCGATTTTTTTTCTTTTTCTACTTAGTGTTTTCTCTAGTTTTTCTTAATGTTTTTCTCTTGTTTGTTTTTCTAGTTAGTCTTTTCTCTGTTTTTTTCTTCTATTTCTCTAGTTTTTTTTTCTCTAGTTTTTTCTTCTATTTCTCTAGTTTTTTTTCTATTTTCTCTTGTCTTTTATTCTCTAGTTTTTTTCTCTAGTTTTTCTATTTAGTTTTCTTTTCTCTGGTTTTTTCTTCTATTTCTCTAGTTTTTTTCTATTTTTCTGCTTAGTTTTTTTTTGTAGTTTCTTCTTAATGTTTTTCTCTAAGTATTTTCTAAATGTTTTTTGAAAAGTTTAAGAAGAAACTTGATTTTTGTCTTGTGGTCTCTTGTTTATTTTCTATTTTTTTCTTTTATATCTCTAGTTTATCTCCGAGATTTTTTTTACCAAAAAGTATTATGTCTTGGGGTACCTGTGTCAAGCCAGACACAGGTAGCCCAAGATTGACACAGCTAGCCCAAGACAAAATACATCTTCGTAAAAAAAAAACTTAGAGAATTTCAAAAAAATGAAAAAAATTAAATTTAAAATCACAACTGAACTGTTAGTGAACTATACAAAAATCAGAACTGAACTAATTATGAGGTCATTTCTGGGGGCGGCGCTTATTTCTCTACTTCCTTACACTTTGACTTTCAACTTCCGATTTTTTGTGGGCGTGGTCAGACACCCCACTTAATCTACTTTTTTTCTCCAGATTCAAACTTTGATTAAATTTTTCTTGAGATTCATTTTCGGTTTCACTTTTTTCTCCGGATTCATTTTAAGATTCGAATTTTTTCTTGAGATTCATTTTCAAATGAGGTTTTTTTCTCCAATTCAGATTATGAATTACTTTTTCCCAAGATTTATTTTTGGAGGGATTCGCTTTTTTCTCGAGATTCATTTTTGTATTCACTTTTTTCTCCACATTCAGATTCGGTATCATTTTTTTCACGAGATTCATTCTTGGAGGGATTCACTTTTTTCTCCAGATTCATTTTTTGATTCACTTTTTTTCTCCACATTCAGATTCGGAAAAAAAAATTTTCCCGAGATTCATTCTTGGAGAAAAAAACTGAATCGAAGATGAATCTGAAGAAAAAATTCGAATCTTAAAATGAATCTGGAGAAAAAAGTGAAACCGAAAATGAATCTCGAGAAAAAATTGAATCCTTCCGAGAATGAATTTCGAGAAAAAGTGAATCCAAAAATGAATCTCGAGAAAAAGTGAACCCAAAAATGAATCTCCAGAAAAAAGTGAATCCTTCCGAGAATGAATCTCGAGAAAAAGTGAATCCAAAAATGAATCTCGAGAAAAAGTGAATCCAAAAATGAATCTCGGGAAAAAGTGAATCCAAAAATGAATCTCGAGAAAAAAGTGAATCCTTCCGAATCTCGGGAAAAAAGTGAATCCTTCCGAGAATGAATCTCGAGAAAAAGTGAATCCAAAAATGAATCTCGGGAAAAAGTGAATCCAAAAATGAATCTCGAGAAAAAAGTGAATCCTTTCGAATCTCGGGAAAAAATCAGTTCGGGTGCGCGAAGTCTTGAAAATTAGGCGTGGGTGCGACTTACAATTCGAGAGAAAGTTGCCAGTCTGAGAAGGCCGTTTCCGACGATCTAGAGGACCCAATTTTCGAAAATCTTTCTCTCGGCGCCAACCATGGTGGCGCCTCGTAGATTTCAATAATTTCCGAAATATATATCAAAATCTCGCTTTCAGTTTTATGCAGTCGGGTTTGCGTAATAAATATATAACTGTCTCACAGCCTATCAAAAAGAGCTATAATTGCATTTGGTTGCCACGCCCTTTTCCGCGTATTTGTTGCTGGTTACGCCCTTTGGTAGGGCAAATTTGCTTCACACCCCCCCAACGCTTAGGGTCAAGTTACGCCCCTGAGCAAGCGTAGCAAGCGTAGCAGTCGTAGCAAGCGTAGCAGTCGTAGCAAGCGTAGCAAGCGTAGCAAGCGTAGCAAGCGTAGCAAGCGTAGCAAGCGTAGCAAGCGTAGCAAGCGTAGCAAGCGTAGCAAGCGTAGCAAGCGTAGCAAGCGTAGCAAGCGTAGCAAGCGTAGCAAGCGTAGCAAGCGTAGCAAGCGTAGCAAGCGTAGCAAGCGTAGCAAGCGTAGCAAGCGTAGCAAGCGTAGCAAGCGTAGCAAGCGTAGCAAGCGTAGCAAGCGTAGCAAGCGTAGCAAGCGTAGCAAGCGTAGCAAGCGTAGCAAGCGTAGCAAGCGTAGCAAGCGTAGCAAGCGTAGCAAGCGTAGCAAGCGTAGCAAGCGTAGCAAGCGTAGCAAGCGTAGCAAGCGTAGCAAGCGTAGCAAGCGTAGCAAGCGTAGCAAGCGTAGCAAGCGTAGCAAGCGTAGCAAGCGTAGCAAGCGTAGCAAGCGTAGCAAGCGTAGCAAGCGTAGCAAGCGTAGCAAGCGTAGCAAGCGTAGCAAGCGTAGCAAGCGTAGCAAGCGTAGCAAGCGTAGCAAGCGTAGCAAGCGTAGCAAGCGTAGCAAGCGTAGCAAGCGTAGCAAGCGTAGCAAGCGTAGCAAGCGTAGCAAGCGTAGCAAGCGTAGCAAGCGTAGCAAGCGTAGCAAGCGTAGCAAGCGTAGCAAGCGTAGCAAGCGTAGCAAGCGTAGCAAGCGTCGCAAGCGTAGCAAGCGTAGCAAGCGTAGCAAGCGTAGCAAGCGTAGCAAGCGTAGCAAGCGTAGCAAGCGTAGCAAGCGTAGCAAGCGTAGCAAGCGTAGCAAGCGTAGCAAGCGTAGCACACTTTGGTTTGCTTTTTGTTTTTATTTTTCAATGTGAGAATTGAACAAGAGCAGCGTGGCCCCTTACCTCCAAAAGCAAGATGGCTGCGGCATGTGCTTGATTCAGGATTTTGGTCGCAAATGCTCTGGTATGTGAAACTCAAATAACTTGCAAAAAATAGATCGGACTAGTTTTCAATAATAGAGTTCATTTTTACATGACTTATGTTTCTCATTTTAGTTACGTTTCTCGTGTGGTAACCAAGCGAACACCAAAGATTATGTATTGTTTGCATGCCGCAAGTTATTAAAGGTGCAGACAGTCAGTATACATTCAACAATGCAAAGGCTAAAAGCTAACATCATTGAAAAGATTGCCGAGGAAAAAGACCCGGTTTGTTTTCTTTCATTTTTCTATATACATAAAAAAAATTCCGAATGAAATAAGGTATTAAATGGCGCCATATACACAGTGTTCGATTTCCTTGGATATAACATTTACAGATTTTGCTGATCTCTTTTAAGATTCTTACATGGCTGCACCCTAAAGTTACTGTCAAGAACATCGAAGGGATGAAGGTTCCAGGCATTGCGCTACTGTCAACTGCTGTCGACAGTTTTGTCGATATTTCACATACAGTGAGTAACACATACAGTTTTGGAGTCTAACGCGGTCTTTTGACTGCATTTCACAAAATGTTTGTTGTTTTAATAGGAATTTTAAAGAATTGCAAAGTACGCTTGTACGGGAGCTGGGGACAATAGGGATATACTTCGGCAAAGACAGGGAATACACCTTGGAGCAAACGATTAAAAGGAAACACGTTTGCCAGAAAAGAGCATACCGAATTTTTCTGAGGAAACTGATGCCATTCACGCAACATATGATAGTGTATGGTAAGAAAGTTTTAAATAAAGTTTCTATGCAATTCTTTTTGGTTCGAAGTTTAGGCTTTTTTTGTATGGTGAATGTAATCGTTGTTCTAACAATATTACTCATAAGCTAGTGGAATTCGGGATGATGCCCCCAATGAGAGTGATATGGAAGAAATCAACAATCCAGCAACAACAATATCGGACGAAGGTTGCGAAAGCTTGGACACTCTCGAAAACGAGTTGAGGATAAAGTTAGAAGGTATACAGAAATAACAGAATCAGATGAGGATTACTATTTGAGTATTTCATCAGCATATTAATTGTTTTGAAACTTTTAATAACACATTTGTATAGCATTTAAAAATAGTCAAGTCATGCAATATCGCAAAAATACAACTGCACCTACCGAAAGTGAAGAGGAGCTCAACTTCAGTTTTACAGAGGTATGCAGGCTTACTCAGTTAGGAGATTGTATGAGCAGTTTAACGACTTGTCTAATCTTTGTGTCACTGTGTATCCTTGACTATTCAAATAGAAACTTACACCAAACACAAAGGCTAGATATAACAACCTGACTCCAAGAAAAAGGAAAACATTTGCTTGGGTATGTCATTTTAAAAATATCAAAACGAATTACTAACGAGTTTTGATGCTTTTGTAATTTTTTTAATGTTTTTTTAACGATGTTATAAAGTTTTAAGCGTTACAAATTTTTCTGTGAATAATTTACAGGCTATTGAAGTCGCGCAAAAAATAATAAAGAGACCCGAAATAGGTTCGTTTTATTTGACTTATTCAGCTTGCATGCAAATATTTATGCTCGTTACTACAGTTGCGTGCACCTGACTTAATAATGCAATACTTGTTGCCGCCCGGCATACAATTCATTTACTTTATTTTGCTCTTTCTAATTATCTTAATCACAATACAACAGATGTGAGAACTTCCTAAGACAAAATTCCCGATTCAAACCCAATAGCAACTGGCGATCAAAATGTCTGCGAGCAAGCAAATGAAATGCCTGCAAGAGGTAAACGATATACGATGTGTCTTGTGTGGTTTGCAAGTACGATTATATAAATTACTGTATACATAATATATATATATAACATAAATATGTCTATGCCTTTTAACTAATTACAGGTGAATCGCACACCAGAAAGCGATTATTTGCAGAAGGTGCTATTGGCATTCTTCCTCGGAGTAAGTAAAAGAAATGCTGATTAACAAGTGTGTCTGTCCAAATCCATGGACTTTTTGCATCAACATTTTGATGAGCATATTTTCTTTTTTTAAATCACATATAGGCTCTACACGATCTGATAATGAAAGTGTTGGGACAACTGCTGGGACGAGTGGATTATCATGTCCTCCGAATTCCGGCAAAATTAAAGTATACAAATGGTGTTCATGCAAAGAGGTAAATCATACATCTAGTTTTATGACGTACTTATACAATTTTTCAATATCAGCATAATTTTCCCACTCTTTGGACGAGACGGTAACTTTCGGACGGGAAACTTGTGTGTCCCCGAATTCATATTGGACCAGTGCAATTCCAGTCTAAGTCCTTTTTATTCATGCATGATACCAGCATTAAAGGAAAATACATTATCATCATTGATCAGTTTATTTACATTTGTTTTCCCCCTAAGTTCTCTTACCGGCAAGAACTTCTGAACTTTGTGTCACGCAGTTCTGAATTAAGAGCAAGTTGCACGATGTATATACAATGTATATACAATGATGTATATACCATAATCGTTCCAGGAAAGAGATAAAGAATCGTAGGACATGATGCTGATATGTGAAACCACAAACAAAAATAACGTATGTATAAAATAGTACATATAGACTAGATTCAATTTTGCATCGTGCTCAAATGCAGTAAAACAGTTAAGCTCGCATATATTTTCTCAGTACCGAGAGTTTCTTGTCCGAGAACCTTATGTACGAGAAATTTATAAAAGCAATCTTATGTTGTCTGGTTGAGGTTTCTATGTTCATTCCACTATCTGTAAAATAAACGATACTACATCTCGTATCCCACTAATAGTTTCCTTAAAACTGAATGTCGGTCAATAACTGTTTATTTTTCAACCATAACTATAGTGTCCAGATAAAGGCTACTACCATCATGAGTGCCTAGGAATTGAAAGAGTACCTAAAGGAAAGTGGTAAGTCAATACATTTACAGTAATATTAATACTTCAACGTCCTATAAATATGATTGACGTTCAAACAAGTTTTTTTTTAATTATAGGCTGTGCGACTTCTGCAAACAGAAATCTAGAAAATAATTTAATTGCAAACATTAAAGAACGAATAAACCGTCCAATTGCTTGCTAAAGATATGAAAAGTTATGAACACTAGATCCAATAAATAAATAACTAATACTACGTATAACAATACGTGTATAATGGCTGTTTCGCCCTATCTCAGGGCTCGTCAGCATGCCTAGGAAACATTAAGTATTGCAATAATTATTAGCAGCATCAATGAATCCGACATGGACAGCCTGATCATGACCCATTTATTGCACGAGTCCGGGGGTTTTAAATCAGAGTTTTCCTTCTCCTAGGTGGACTGTCTTCCAAGACTGACGAGTTCCACCTACCCAATGTAAACAACAAGCGCGCAATGAGTAATAACCCTAATGCTTATTTTTCACCATCTTTTATCACAAATTGCATATATGAATTCCTGCATAACATCTGCCCAGGTTTTAGCTGTCTCGAAGCTACGTCATGTTGCTTTTTTACTATTTCCTCATTTTGATAGAAATCCATCAAAAAGTTATAAAAATAGTGCATGGAAAAATTTTGCATTGTTGAGCTTTGTAACCATCGCTTATTCTTTCAGTTGTTTTCGGACTCTTGATAGCTTGTTTTTATCGTGTTCGACTGAGACAAAAGATTTATGTTGTAATATTCACAAAGGGGTGACTTGTGAGGATTGCTTGCTGTGTGAAATCTGTCACCTAAAACATATCTCCTGGATGTGCCTGTCAATGGATGAATCATGCTACCATCCTCCACCTGTATCATATCATTGTCACTTTTTCTGTATTCTGCTGTTGTCAGCATAGGGACACTCATTTCCTAGAAGTGTCATGACAACAAAATTAATAATTTATTTGTTCCATTTTATGGGTTTTCAGAATATTCTAAACTGTTTTCAAGTCATATCTTAAGTTAGCCTTGACTGAATAAAAATGTTGCAGGGCAATGAACGTGCACAATACACCAGTAATATGTAGATTTTTCGTAAACGATACCTTTGATGGTGGTTTATCCAATGATGGTACCTCAAAACACCCTCTGTTATCTTTCCATAGCTATTCGGTCATTTCTTTACTGACCCGGCACTCTAAGTGCCTGACAAACCAACAAGCCATGTCGCAAAGAAAAACAAAAGGAATATGCTTAAATGATAAATAGAGATCGGCTGCATCTCTTACTGACTCCTGTAAAGTCAGAAACTTTGAAGCTGCAGTTACCTGAAAGGAAAGGACACCCAAAAGAATTATTTTTTAGAACACCCAGAGTAAAAATTCTATAAATGTAAATTTTATAAATGCTCTAAATTGTATATCACTGTATACGTCTCAGACTAGGGCTACGGTTGTCTAAGAAAACAAGATGATAAATGCCCTGTTACAGGGTGCAATTTTTCTCGCAACTTGCAATGCAATTCTGCTCTTGAGAGATGTTAATTAGTGTCAGTGAAGATGTTCGATATGTTGAGAGAACAATACGAAATATAAGTTGTACTTTCGTAATTTACACGTCTCAAAAGTAGAGTTGCATTGCAGGTGAAATACTTCTATACTTACGCCATGGCGACAAACAATGTGGTAGACACTACCAATATGCCCTGGCATTTTTGTGAAGCTATGGCAAGGACATGAACCAACCAGCAAGGTTTCATACAATGACCGCAAATCAATGAGCATTCTAAGCCCCGCCCACCGGAAGTGACGTCATAATTAGATTAAGGGGGCGTGTTTCACCACGCCCATCGAAAAACCGGAAGTGAAAAGTCATAGCGTAAGGAAGTAGTGAAATAAGCCCCGCCCACCAGAAGTAACATCATAATTAGATTAAGTGGGCGTGTCTGACCACGCCCATCGAAAAAACGGAAGTCAAAAGTCAAAGCGTAAGGAAGTAGCGAAATAAGCCCTGCCCACCGGAAGTGACGTCATAATGAGATTAAGTGGCGTGTCTGACCACGCCCATCAAAAAACCGGAAGTCAAAAGTCAAAGCGTAAGGAAGTAGCGAAATAAGCACCGCTCACCGGAAGTGACGTCATAATTAGATTAATTGGGCGTGTCTGAACACGCCCATCGAAAAACTTGAAGTCAAAAATCAAAGCGTAAGGAAGTAGCGAAATAAGCTTCGCGGACCGGAAGTGACGTTATAATTAGATTAAGTGGGCGTGTCTGATCATGCCCATCAAAAAACCACAATTTAAAAGTCAAAAGCGTAAGCAAGTAGCGAAATAAGCCCTGCTTACCGGAAGTGACGTCATAATGAGATTAAGTGGGCGTGTCTGACCACGCCCATCGAAAAGCCAAAAGTCAAAAGTCAAAGCGTAAGGAAGTAGCGAAAAAAGCCCCGCCTAATGGAAATGACATCATATTTAGATTAAGTGGGCGTGTCTGACCACACCCATCAAAACCTCAGGTCAAAAGTTAAAGCGTAAGGAAGTAGCGAAATAAGCCCCGCAGACTGGAAGTGACGTCATGATTAGATTAAGTGGGCGTGTCTGATCACGCCCATCGAAAAACCGGAAGTCGAAAGTCAAAGCGTAAGGAAGTAGCGAAATGAGCCCCGCGGACAAGAAGTGACGTCATAATGAGATTAAGTGGGCGTGTCTGATCACGCCCATCGAAAAACCGGAAGTCAAAAGTCAAAGCGTAAGGAAGTAGAGAAATAAGCCCCGCCTACTGGAAGTGACGTCATAATTAGATTAAGTGGGCGTGTCTGACCATGCCAATTAAAAAACCGGAAGTCAAAAGTCAAAGCGTAAGGAAGTAGGAAAATAAGGCCCGCCGACCGGAAGTGACGTCATAATTAGATTAAGTGGGCGTGTATGATCACGCCCATCGAAAAATCGGAAGTCAAAAGTCAAAGCGTAAGGAAGTAGAGAAATAAGCCCCGCCTACTAGAAGTGACGTCATAATTAGATTGAGTGGGCGTGTCTGACCATGCCAATTAAAAAACCGGAAGTCAAAAGTCAAAGCGTAAGGAAGTAGGGAAAAAAGGCCCGACGACCGGAAGTGACGTCATAATTAGATTAAGTGGGCGTGTCTGATCACGCCCATCGAAAAACCGGAAGTCAAAAGTCAAAGCGTAAGGAAGTAGCGAAATAAGCCCCGCCTACTGGAAGTGACGTCATAATTAGATTGAGTGGGCGTGTCTGACCACGCCCATTTAAAAACCGGAAGTCAAAAGTCAAAGCGTAAGGAAGTAGGGAAATAAGGCCGCCGACAGGAAGTGACGTCATAATTAGATTAAGTGGGCGTGTCTGATCACGCCCATCAAAAAACCGGAAGTCAAAAGTCAAAGGGTAAGGAATTAGCGAAATAAGCCCTGCCCACCGGAAGTGACGTCATAATTAGATTAAGCGGGTGTGTCTGACCACGCCCATTTAAAAACCGGAAGTCAAAAGTCAAAGCGTAAGGAAGTAGGGAAATAAGGCCGCCGACAGGAAGTGACGTCATAATTAGATTAAGTGGGCGTGTCTGATCACGGCCATCAAAAAACCGGAAGTCAAAAGTCAAAGGGTAAGGAATTAGCGAAATAAGCCCTGCCTACCGGAAGTGACGTCATAATTAGATTAAGCGGGTGTGTCTGATCACGCCCATCGAAAAACCGGAAGTCAAAAGTCAAAGGGTAAGGAAGTAGCAAAATTAGCCCTGCCTACCGGAAGTGACATCATAATTAGATTAAGTGGAAGTGTCAGATCACGCCAGTGAACTGAAATAAAACTGGAACGCTCACTCTGCCGGAAGTTTGAAGCCAAGATGGCGGATCATGAAGCCTTTCTTGTAGGTATGATCCAGGCCTCCACGCGGAAATTTTGTCGGGAATTCTGATTTTTCCTTTGAAGTTTCCGCGCCAGAGGCCTGGATCATACCTACAAGAAAGGCATCATGATCCGCCATCTTGGCTTCACTCATCAATGAGGGAAAGTCATAGAGTGAGCGTTCCAGTTTTATTTGAGTTCACTGGATCACGCCTATTGAAAAACCGGAAGTCAAAAGTCAAAGCGTAAGGAAGTAGCGAAAAAAGCCCCGCCCAACGGAAGTGACCTCATAATTAAATTAAGTGGACGTGTCTGACCACCCCATCGAAAAAACCGGAAGTCAAAAGCAAAGCTAAGGAAATAGCGAAATAAGCCCCGCCTACCGGAAGACGTCATAATTAAATTAAGTGCGTGTCGGTGATTCATAGCTTAGGTAAAGAAATTGTATATTACATACCAAACCCACAATATAAGGACTGCGGATGTGGCTCTGTCTGTATCTACAAAAAACAAGACAATTGCTAACACTTATATGATAGAATATGTCTTTACGGAATATTAAATATATTTTAATTTCAGTATACATGTTTAACTACATAAGAAAGAACAATATATTTGAAGCTAGTGTATGTGTATGACCCAGCATGCATAGCGGGTCAAACAGCACCGACATGTTTGACATTGTTCCTCAGAATAGAGTATTGTAATAGCTGAAGTTGAGTTGTTCATTTACAAAATTAGTCGAAAACACTAAACTGGCGACGAAGATGGGATTATGAACAATTAGTTAAAAATTCAAGTCACAGAAACGGCATTTATTCAGTCTGAAGTGACATAAATAAAGCGATGAATTCGATTGGCAAACTAGAAGAATTTGACGAAACACGCGAGAACTGGACGGCATATATAGAAAGAGTGGAAAAATTTTCCTGGCAAATGATGTAGAAAATGAAAAAAAAAGTGGCAGTTTTGTTGACCGTAATCGGAGGTAAGACATATAGTTTATTACGAACACTAACCTCCCTGAAAAACCGGCAACAAAATCATTCGATGAAATAGTGGCAATCCTTAAAGAACATTTATCACCCAAACCCCTGCTTATAGCAGAACGATTTAGATTTCATAAGCGAGATCAACGAGAAAACGAAAATATTCATACCTATGTGGCCGAAATTAAAAAGTTATCAGAACATTGCGAGTTCGGGACAGCATTAAATGACTCCTTAAGAGATAGATTAGTGTGTGGATTACACAATGAAGCTATTCAGAAACGATTACTGGTCGAAACTAGCCTTACGTTTGAGAAAGCGCTCAAAGTCGCCGTTGCCATGGAAGCAGCTATGAAAGATTCAGTCGAGTTAAGAGGGAAAGCCAAGACTGAACTTCCTGTGTACACGATGCGCGAAACGCCAAAACAACATAGGTGTTATAGATGTGGCAAAGAGGGACTCCCAACAATGTCATTTCAAAGATCAATACTGTAGGAACTGTGGGAAGAAAGGATACATAAAACGAGTGTATAGGGGGAAATCTCAGCAACAATATACCCCCCAAAGGCACCATCAAGGAAGAAAAAAGGGGAGCAGGAAGTACATGAAGTTCAGAATGAAAGTGATAGTGATAGTGAGGATACCTTGGCATCCTTAGAAATACACAAAGTTGCCAAAGGACACACTAACATAATCTGGGTCACCCTGAAGTAGAAGGAAAATCCCTTCAAATGGAGTTAGACACTGGCTCAGCTGTCTCTGTTCTCCCACTGAAGCAATGCAATGCAATGTTTAAATCATTTGAACTCCACCCAACCACCACTGTCCTCAAAACTTACACTGGTGAAAAGATCCAACCCAAAGGGGTCATGAATGTCCAAGTTCAGTATAAGGAAGAGAAACGGAAGCTAGATTTGTATGTTGTTGATACAAAGGCCTGCTCTCTTTGGCAGAGACTGGCTTGAAAAGATCACACTAGATTGGAAAACAATCAATGCCTTGTCAGCCACACCACCTAGAAACCCACTCACCCGAGTACAAGAGATCCTTAACAAGTCTACTGATGTCTTTGGAGAGGATATCGGTCGCCTAAGTACAGTCAAAGCAAAGTTAACATTGAGAGAAAACAGCCAATTAAAGTTCTGTAAAGCTAGACAAGTGCCATACGCTTTACGACCAAAAGTTGAGGCAGAGTTGACCAAGTTACAAAACGACAACATTTTGACCAAAGTCGAGTGGAGTGAATGGGCAACTCCTGTTGTTCCTGTAATAAAAAAGAATGGGAACGTCCGGCTGTGTGGCGATTTCAAGCAAACTATCAATCCAGTATTGCAAGTCCAACAATACCCCCTTCCAAGAATTGATGATATTTTTGCCACCCTCGGGGGGGGGGCAAAAGTTCAGCAAGATTGATCTACGGCAAGCATATTTACAAATGGAAATGGAAGAAGAATCAAAGAAACTACTAACAATCAATACACACAAAGGACTATTCCAGTACAACCGACTTGTATTTGGTGTGGCTTCTGCTCCTGCAATTTGGCAGCAAGCCATGGATGAAATATTGGAAGGAATTCCCCACGTGAAATGCATTCTGGATGATATGATCATTTCTGGTGCAACTGACCAAGAGCATCTTGCCAACCTTGAAGAAGTCCTTAGCCGACTTAGCAAACATGGGTTGAGAGCCAACAGTAGCAAGTGTGAGTTCTTCAAAGAAAGAATTGAGTTTTGTGGTCATGAGATCAGCAAGCTGGGTCTACACAAGTCCCAGCAGAAAGTGGATGCTGTGCTAAATGCGCCACGACCTGAAAATGTTTCCCAAGTTCGTTCCTTTTTTGGTCTCATCAACTATTACCACAATTTTCTTCCAAACCTTTCCAACTTACTCCAACCACTAAATCAGCTGCTGGAGAAATACAAGCCATGGAAATGGACCCCTGGATGTGAGCAAGCGTTTCTCAAAGCAAAGGAGTTAATTGCATCGGAGGAAGTCCTGGCACACTATGATCCTCAACGTTCTATCAAGTTAGAATGCGATGCTTCCCCATATGGGCTAGGGGCAGTCCTAACACAGGTCATGCCGACAATACGGAGAGACCCCTAGCGTATGCATTAAGGTCGCTCACAAAAACGGAAAAACATTATTCACAGATTGACAAGGAGGCACTGGCATTAATATGGGGGGTGAAGAAATTCCACACTTACATATTTGCACGACACTTCACTCTGCGAACAGATCATAAACCCCTCACGGCAATTTTCAGTCCAACCAAAGCCATACCAGCAATGACGGCCGCCTGCCTGCAACGGTATGCGCTGTTTCTTTCAGGATTTGACTACGAGATCGAATACCGCAGTTCGACAAAACATTGTAATGCAGATGGATTATCCCGTCTACCCCTAGCTACAACGGAAGATAAAAATCAGTCAGTTGACCCAGTAGAGGCATTTCACGTATCACAGTTCAATATGTTGCCTGTCACTTGTCAGCATGTACGTAAAGAAACCCAACGGGATTCGACCCTGGTCCAAGTATATGAACATGTTATGAAAGGTTGGCACGAAAATAAAGACCTCACTCTCGCACCATTTTATTCACGGAGATACGAACTGACCGTGCACCAAGGATGCATTATGTGGGGAGGTAGAGTTGTTATTCCTACGAAGTTACGAAGCGAGGTACTGCAAACATTACACGAAACTCACGTTGGTGTCGTCAGAATGAAAGCCTTGGCGAGAAGTTACGTCTGGTGGCCAGGGATTGATGTCGAGATTGAAATGTTAACGAAAGGTTGCAGTGGTTGTCAGCGGACTCAGCATGCCCCCAAACATGCGCCTCTACACCCCTGGGAATGGCCATCGACCCCCAACGTATTCATATCGATTTTGCGGGACCCTTCCTTGGAAAGATGTTTTTAGTGATCGTGGACGCTCATTCTAAATGGCCAGAGGTGATTATCATGCACTCTAATACAACGACACCCAAAACAATTGAAGCTCTACGAACAGTGTTTGCTCGGAACGGGATACCACAACAACTCGTCAGTGACAACGGTCCGCAGTTTACTGCAAGAGAATTCCAGCTGTTTTTAAAGAAAAACGGAGTTAAGCACATAACATCTGCACCATATCATCCAGCAACGAATGGATTAGCAGAAAGATTCATTCAAACTTTAAAACAATCGCTGACGTCAATGAAGGAAGAACCAGGCTCCACACAGACTAAGCTATCTAAATTCCTAATGAAATACAGAAATACGCCACATAGTACTACCGGTGAGACACCAGCATCTCTCTTCATGGGACGAAACTTACGCACGCGTTTAGACTTGATCAAACCAGACATTAGAAAACACGTCATAGATAAACAAGTCAGTCAAGCCAAACCTAAAGGTGCTATCGCCAGTAATGCACGTCAACTTTTCATTGGACAAGCAGTGAGTGTCAGAAATTACCGCGGGAAGGAAAAGTGGATCCAAGGAATTGTACGTGCTCTAACTGGACCGGTGTCTTATCAAGTAGAGGTCGCACCAAATGTTATCTGGAGGAGACATATCGATCAGTTACGTGCTTCAGAGAACAGAAACAAGACCCAAGAGATGGAATCTGCAGTTGCTAGTGATGCTGTGAGAGGGGAAAATGAAAACGAGGTGGAAGATGAAATAGCATTGGACGTACAAGAGCAAGGAGATCCTCCTGAACCAAACCAAGAAGCGGATGAGGTAGAACCACAGGAACAACGTTATCTTCTCAGACTTCGGCAAGAACCGGTTAGACTAGGATTTGATAGTTAGACCGGACAGACCACTATATATACATATATGTTTAAACTAGGGTGCGAACCTTTTCGGACACCAAACGTTAACAGTTGAATATTGATATTAAAGGGACAACATTTATTAGTGGGGAGAGATGTAGTGTATGACCCAGCATGCATAGCGGGTCAAACAGCACCGACACGTGTTGACATTGTGCCTCAGAATGAGTATTGTAATGGCTGAAGTTGAGTTGTATCATTTACAAAATTAATCGAAAACACTACAGCTAGGATCAAGGGCATAACAAGGAATGGCATACTGGATCATCTCTTATTGATTCAGCGTTACTACAGCAGGAAACCTACACAAACTAACTATATTTACACTGGATAATTCTGTCAGTTCTAAACAGTTCATCCTGCAGTAAGCAACATCTGTTGTTAAAAATCACCTACCAGCGTAACATATGTTTCGCATCATTCAACCATGAACGACGAATGATAACATCCTTGTCTGCAACAATATCACCCTGACTGTTTTCAATTTGCCCCTAGACAGGTTCAAACAACAGATATAAGATAAGTATCCAAGATTGGAGTTACCTGAAACACATCAAGTAATAACATGTTTATTTCACATGTTTACATACCCTGTGTTTTCTCTATTATAAAATTATTGCCACCACTAAATGCGGAAGATACTTTTGAACCAAGAACATACCAAACTATTCATTAACCTACCATTTTCCTTCTGTTTTTAACATATCTGACTTCTAACTCACTGTATGAAATCAGTAAAAGCTTACATAGGTGTTTATTAAGTAGTGTGCTAAGAAATGTTGTTAAGGACCAGATAACGAGGCAATAGATCATAATGAGCTTGCAACTGTATCTTTCACAAATATAGCCAAATATTGGAGCAAATATCATATAGCTTGAAATAAATATTGTCTGGAGAAGGCCTCTTAAAAACAATAATTAAATAATGATTGTGTACAAAAATTATATTGCATTCACATGTGATAGCAATTCTGACAGGATTGGGTAATGATAAAGGAGTGTAATCATATCTTGTGTAATAATTGCAGTAAAATTAACAACCAGCATTTCCAAATTTTGCTTGATTGCATACAAAATATTAGTTGAATTTGAGGTTGATATTGTTATTATATTTTAACTACAATGTATAGGTTGGGATGTTATACTCTCCTATCTATATCTTCACTTGTAAGCTTTCGTATTGAAGCAGTTTCATTCAGTGATGTTGACCCACATGGCATTGATGTCGATGATGAAACACACTCAGAAGAGCTACTTTGACCATGGAAGCATGATTATCTTGCTCATTAATCTGTATCCTGCAATATTAGAACAGAGTACGAAGGTATTTTATAAATAAAATCATTATCTGAGTATAATCTTTTATCCAAATTTAATAATCATCCAACAATCACTGTAAAAATAATTATACACAGTATCTCAAACTTAGATAAAATCGACAAACTTACAGGAGATATCTTCCAGTAGTTGTTTTTCAAAATATTTATTTGGTTGTCTTTTAAAAGACAATTGTTGAATGGTTTTATAAAGCTCCACTCTTCACTCTTGATGCGTCCGCCATTTTAATTTAGTTTTTTGAATACTTCATGTTGTGCAAATGAAATGGATTCACACCAAAACGAAAAATATAAACAAAGCTCGCACATGCGTAGAAGCGAAAGGAAATTGCGGTGAAGAGCCGTGGAAATTGCGGTGAAGAGCGGTGGAAATTGCGGTGAAAAGCGGTGGAAATTGCGGTGAAAAGCGGTGGAAATTGCGGTGAAGAGAGCCGAAATTGCGGTGAAGAGAAGAGCGGTTGAGATTTCTTATTTTTTTTGCCTGTTTTAAAGACACGGCTTCTGCGCGTGCGCCAGCCTGGGGACTCCACCCGAAGTTGATAATCCCCGGATTGTTCAGTCTAAAAACCATGACCAGCCGACAATTTAAGAAAGAAATTCTCAATCTTTCAAGAGCACTGAGTCATGTCGTCGAGTAGAAAAGAATATTATGCTAGTAGAGATGCCTCTAAAGTGTATTTGTTGGGTTCTTTTCCTCGATGGAGAGCGTTTAAGGAGCAGCATAAATTGAGAACAGACAAGGATGTGGCGGATATGCTTCTTGACAGCTATCTTGCGATGAATCGTATAGTTTGGTAAGTATAAAATGATAAAACCTCTGACCTTTTTTGTGTGTTATTTGTTTACTTCATTTTTTAAAATATTCGCATAAAACATTCGTATGAAATATTTTATAGTTAAAACCTCAACGCCAAGCGCGCACTCAAATCCGCGTCCATTGTCTGCTTTGTCGGATGTTAGAACATCATATTCTATCAGGTAATTTGAAACTTATTGTGATTACTGAGTTTATAATTTGAAACCCATACATGCAAAGTTTCGCGCAGAGAGTATTACTTTTTAAACACGCAATATGTGTTTATATCTCAGGTCGGGTCAGAGTGTGATTTCTGACAGTCGAACATTGACAGCCAAAGATGATAGTTCTGATGATGAAAGTGATGATGATAATGACAATTTTGGTGAACACACTATCCAGGCAGACCAGGTTTTGTCGGACGATTCTCTTGAGTAAGTGATGATGCAAAACCTCAATAATAATCTTTGTGACATTCCTACTGTAATGCTTATTGATTTAAAACATAAATATACACATTATATATCACTGAATATGGCATAAAATATTTCGTCCAATAATATCTGTTACTGCCATTTTACTGTAGTGTATGTCCCCCGGGTTTTGACGTGCCATTACTGGATGACTTGCTCAATGTGACAATCCGTGGACATGATGGAGATGAGCCCACAGAAGATGTTGGAACCCAACAACAACAACAGCAGCAACATAAGACGACTCAACCAGAATACATCTCTACTGTGGAAGAAGTCAGTCCTGAAGATGCAATCAAGAAGGAAAAGTGTATTGTGTTTACAGACACTCTTATAGCTTTGATAACATCATTACATGGGAGTGTTTGTAAACGACAAGGATGTGGCCGTGTGTTGAGCTATAAGAAAACATATGTTGGAACATGCCTGGTCGTATCCTGGGGGTGTAGGTCTGGTCATGTTGGAGGCAGATGGGCAGCTCAACCCTCTTGCAACAAGATTAGAGCAGGCAACCTCGTGCTTGCTTCTGCTTTGCTGTTGTCTGGCAATTCCTACGCCAAGGTGGGGTTGATGTTCAACTTCTGTAATCTGCAGTATTTCTGATCAATATTATTCAATCAGTATCAGAAGTTGTACATCATCCCTGCCATTAATGACTACTGGGAAGAACACAAACAGAAATGTTGGAAAGAAAGAGAGAACAAAGAGGTTATATTGAGTGGTGATGGAAGGAATGACTCGCCTGGCCATAGTGCACAATATTGTACTTACAGCTTGGCTGATACCAATGATCGTGCCATACTGCAAATGAATGTGGTTGATGTGAGAGAAGCTGCTGGTAAGAGCAATAATATGGAGAGGATTGGGTTTGAAAGAGGGATGGACACACTGCTTGCATCACCAATAGTTATGAAGGAGGTGGTAACTGATGGTCATATTGAAATTGCTGCATTGATGAGTAAGTATCTACATTATAACAATATGGCAATTCCTGGAACTCTAATAGTTCAACCTGTTATAATCAATATTGTCAGACTTTCAATAATTTAACAACTTCATTTGCAGATTGATTACAATGTTATATAATTAATTGTGTTTACCCTTTAAAAGACAGTAAGGGAATATTTACAACATGCATTTGTTTATTAATTAAGCATTATTGCATTTTTTTAAGAAAGGGAAGAGAAATATAAGGAGGTCACACATCAGAATGATGTGTGGCATGGAGCAAAGAACATTGCAAAGAAAATCACTACTGTAAGTGTTGAAGATATCAACCAGCAATTAGTTAAAAACTTTCTTTATTAGAATTGATTTTATTCTTTAGGCTGCTAAATCTAAAGACAATGCAGATTTGACCTTGTGGGCACCATCAATAAGGAACCATTTTTGTTTGTTCAAAAACATGTGCTAATGACTCAAAAAATCTCAAAGTAAGATTCACATTGAAGTACTACTGGTTTTTTGCAGATTTGACCTTGTGGGCACCATCAATAAGGAACCATTTTTGGTATTGTTCAAAAACATGTGCTAATGACTCAAAAAATCTCAAAGTAAGATTCACATTGAAGTACTACTGGTTTTTGCAGCAATACTTATCTAGTTCGTGCAAACTGTACATCCATGTGTTAATATGTAGTCACTTTATGTTGTATTTTTATATTTTTTTAATAGGATAAGTGGATTGTATTTTACACCATGTTGTTGATGAGCATGAGTGGGTGTTGGAGGAAGGTGTAAATGGTGGAAAATGTGAACATGATCCTCTTAATGAAAGTGAGAGAAAGAAGCCATGGCTTAAGAAAGAGTCTTCTGCCCATAAAGCACTGGCAAAGATCATTCTGGACACTCACTTTTTAAACACTTTGGTGTATTATGTTAACTTCAGGTAACAAATGAGATTGGATATTTGAAAATTTCAGATAAGTTATATCATCTCAAAGTTTGAGATATTTTTTAGGCACACAGGATTTTTAGAGTCCTTTCATAATGTAATTTTGATGTATGCTCCAAAGCGCCATGCCTATTCGTAAGTATATGACATATTATTACAAAGGTAACAGCTAATAAAACTCCTATCATGGTTGATTTCCATGCAAGGAAGCATTGTTAATAAAAAAATGTTGATGTTTGTTGTATCTTCAGATACTCAGTATACCAAGCTAGAAACCGGCTTGCTGCCTTGGACTTTAACCACCACAGAGGCCGAGCACCAGCAACTACAGCTGATGGGAAAGAAAGGTACTGGTATTGAAATTTTTGCCTTAGTGTTCCCATCCTAAGTGTGAACAACTTTTCAGGTCCTGTGCATTCTTATAGTGTAATGGTACTCATATTGTATGGAATTGTAAAGTTTTTTTTTATTAGGTACGGTCGGAAGTTCAGTAAGCGTACACAACAGTGGTGCCGTGTTCGTGTTCTTGTACCAAAAGAATTTAGTTACATTCCTGAACTGATGCAGAAGGTTTTTATAAAGAGGATCACATCAGAAGGGAATGTAAACAAAAGACTTGGTCTTAGAGTTTTTTGTTTCACCTTATCCTTTCAAGACTTTAAAGTTAAATAAGAATCCGGGACATATTTCTATTGTCCGTGGCAAGTAATTAGCAAAATTCAGCTCCGTGAAGCGATTCATGGCTATTACTCTTAGAGACAAAAGCCTTCGCTTTTCCGGCGTTAATCTTTTCAAACGAAAACTATAACAACTTTTTTTCTCGGTAAATGGTAGCAATTTTCTTTTACCATTTTTTTATCTTTCGATATTCGCAAACCCGGTGGTTACTAATTTTACTAGCTCCATAGCCTAACATATCCAACCATAGTAATGACAGTAGGTGACAGGGAATGACGGTAGATTACAGGATGACAGTAAATGACAGGGAATGAATGAGTAACATGGGATGTAAACTGCAAAGAATGAGTAACATGGGATGTAAACTGCAAAGAATGAGTAACATGGGATGCAAACTGCAAAGGATGAGTAACATGGGATGCAAACTGCAAAGAATGAGTAACATGGGATGCAAACTGCAAAGAATGAGTAACATGGGATGCAAACTGCAAAGAATGAGTAACATAGGATGTAAACTGCAAAGAATGAGTAACATGGATGCAAACTGCAAAGAATGAGTAACATAGGATGTAAACTGCAAAGAATGAGTAACATGGGATGCAAACTGCAAAGGATGAGTAACATAGGATGTAAACTGCAAAGAATGAGTAACATGGGATGCAAACAGGCAAAGTTGCGAAAAGAGCCGCTTAATATAATAAAAAGTAGAAATACATCTCCAAATAAATCTCCAAATCATCTTTGGTTCCAATATATTTTAAATCTGAAAACTGACAATTCTTCACTTGCACTCTTCCCATAAAATAGTTCTGAAATATATTATTTACATTTTGTTTTCTAGCAATGGTATCCCCAGGAAAATTAGTGCAGTTGATACCAGTGGCCCAGGGTTTAGCAGCAGTACAGAAAATCTCCTTTCCCAGTGGCGGATTTTGGGGCGTGCAGAATAAATTACACGGCCTAATTTTAAATTCATAACACCCTATTGGTTATAGAGACTTTATTTTGTAAAAGAAAAAATAATCGAATTCTTCCCAAAACAAATCAGTGAACCAAATCAAATTTGTTCAAATTAATGCAAAAAGTACGTAATTCAGTACGAGTGAATGAATGTGGTTTGGAAAATGAATTGGGTTAATTTCAGCAATATATGAAAGGAGAAAAAGTATTTCTTGAAAGCTAAATAGTATCTTTCTTCCTATGAAAACAAATATACCATTCACAATCTTTAATCACAGGCTAAAACAGCAAAAAAAGTTAGAGAGGCTACACGGCGGAATGTGAAGCAGTTTTACCTGTTCTTAGTAAACACCCCCTGGCAGACAAAAAAATTTTGAGCCACTCTAACCAGAAGGCCTTAAGGTACCAAAACTTACTAAAATTGAATATCTGAATCAAATGTATACAGGCCGATCTGTCTCTCTGTAGAAAGGAGTGGCATCTACCGAGATCTTACTGTAGCTTTCATTAAACTTATCACGCGATATCACATCTCAGTGCGAACGAATGATAATTGTTTAAAAGATCGTTACTCCACCTATTTCTTATATTGTCGTTTCATAATGTACTTCTTCAATGCATTTAGGCGACAGTTGAAGGTGCGAGTCCGTGGAATCCTTAGAACTTGCTCTTAATCTTCGTTCAACCTCGTCCAAATGTTCTGAAGATTTTCGGCTTCGTGGAGATTCAGAACTCGTTGAACCATTTTTTTTAACGTTACGTTCAAAAATCGAGCGAGTGATGTCTACACAAGAAAGAGAAATGCACAGCTAAAAGTTTCATTTATTGTAAGTGCTAGCAGCAATCGAAATCTCTCGCTACCAGATTTGCAAAAACCTGCCGACAAACCTCGGTAATCTCTTTGATGATCCATTGTTTATTGATACTTTTATTTGGAAATTGATTATTTAATTAATTCGTTGATCATGATTGGTTTGATTAAAATTAACGACGATTATGTTATAATTTGGTTGTGAATCATTGTATGATCAAGTCGTGAAAGCCTAGAAACCTCTCACCTTCAATGTTTACAAAACATTTACTCGGCTTTTGTAGGTTCTATGGAGAAATATAAGCAAACTGGGTTGACGGAAAACATAAATGAAAATGCTTTCATGGGAAAATACCCTAGTTAACACCTTCTTTACTTCAAACCAATTGAGAAATCGCAAGGACATTGTCGTAATTCATGTGTGTAGAGCTACCATTGATAAAGACGAAAACTATGATTATTGATTAACCAACCTTCATCAATATCATCTTCGACCATTATCTCCACATCAATCTGATCGTACAATGATATTCTTGAAAACACGGGCAATTTTTTTGGTGTTGGATCAGTTAAAGTAATGTCACATTCATAGGCTTGTTTCCAGGCTCTAAGGTCGACCAAAGATTGGCGCAAATCTTTCTTCCATCTCACGAAATCTTGCTCACATTCACAGGCAAATACCGGTTCTTTTTCATCGTCTGAACACGTGAGTATTATGATGTGATCATATTCACAATTACCTTGAAGATGTACATCCACTTCCATCCCCTATTGTACCAAAACAACGCAAAATTGAAGATGGAAATCGAATCAGGTAAAACATGCAGTACGCCAATTGATAGGGAAAAACGCCTTTTACAAACTACAAATCTCATACTAACATCTAGTATGTTTACAGATTAGTATTTTGAAGTTACTAACTTGCAAGGTTTTAGAGTTGTTAATCGCTAATGAAGTTGTTGTTCAAGAATTAGGCAACCTGACCTTGTTTAAGTTAATGACATGTTTTGCTTTGCCCTCTTTTGCATCTTCACCACAATCCCAGAACTCCATTTCAGCTTTTCGTAGCCGACACCAGTATCTTGTCCATGATGGTTTGCGATGGGTCATACTCTTAACCAGAAAATCATATAAATCACAATCAATCACATAAATAATTATTATCAGACAACACTCTTTCATGGACAATAAATCAGCTGCTAATATGAGTTCAGATAACATCGCATGAAAAAGCCTTTAAGATGATTGGGAACTAATTTTTTTTATGTATAAAAATTCACTAAAAGTCGGATATCCAATGTTATCCAAATTTGCACCTGCTAAGTAAATCCATTCCAGTTTTTATTAAAGAATGTTATCATTATACCTGCAGGAAGAGAACACCTTCAGTTACATCGGATTCATTTGATTGTGGAACAGCAGCCAGTCGACAGCAAAACTGACTCCACAATGGAAGGTTAGCTGTATGTGAATCATCAGCTGTTACTGCTGATGCTGTAGGACTTGCACCGACTGCTCCTGGAAATGAATATTGGTTGAGATTCATACTTAAATTAAAGACAATAAACCATGTTGTTTGATTTTAAAATGTCATTTGTGGAAAGTTATCACAAATTAATGAGATCATGACATTTACCTTTCTTAATATCATGTATTTTAATTGAATCATCAACATCATCAACCCCAAGAGATGCATGACCAGCTAAAACATACTTAGGTCCATAGCTACCATCAGAGTTGCTTCTATGAACATGTTTCTTATGACCAGAATGGAGATCATTGGTTGATGTTGTTGTGTAGTAAATCTCTATATTTAATTTGAAATCAGGATCCACATTATCACTGAAAATAAACAATGCAGTTATTTTTTCTTTGCCTCACGACTATGGACTGCTGAATTAAAGGTGAGTTATTAGGAAGGAGACAAAAGTAAGACAAGGTCAAGGACAATATCTCAAACCTACATGTGATAGTCAAGTAATTTAAGATATTTAAATATTATGCAAGCGATGCATTTTCGACTTGTTGTAAAGCAAGAATAAAAAGCTGGGGGAGCGAAGCGCAAACAAACAAATTCTGCCATCAATGCTTTCTAAGTTCAATACAAGTATTGATTTATGTACTTACAATGCAACAACATCATCAAGTGTTACATCTGTTGATGACTGATCAACTTCCACTAAGCCTGTCTCAGCAACTTGCCCACCAAGTTTCAGAATGCAAAACACGTGAATATATTCGACTAATCTCTAAAATAGATAATACATCTAGATATTAATCTCAATATGCATGTCAGAATAACACTCAGTGCCAGTAATCTTATTTCATTACCTGAAATGCTTTCTTTAGCTCTAAAATGTTCTTCTTCATTCCACATTAAAGGAACACGAATGTCTTAAAAGAAACAAGACATCAAACCAATTAAAAATATACTCTACCTAGGTATCTAGAGTGGTACCTGATGATATGTAACAAATATAATAATGTGTTATACCTGAAATTGAGACTTTTCCCTGACATGGAATGAGTAATTTCTCACCACTAAAACAAATTACAATAAATGCTATGAAGGCTGGAGAGTCATGAAATGATTTGATTAAAACATTAATAATTGCAGGGAATAAGATGAGTAGAAATTCCTCCATGCATGCTGTTAAGCCATTGCATGTACTTACATGTAGATGTACTATAAAGTAAAGCAGCTAAAACAACTATTACTTGACTACTGGTAATTATATTGTTGATCGAAGATCCCACCTGTGTATCTTGGAAATATTTGGCCTCGTTTTAGAATTCATGGTTTGTTTTCTGTTTCTCTGCAGCAAAGACATGAGAGCAATAATCCTTGCATTGATTGTAAGTAAATTCTTTGCTCCCTCCAAAGCTTGAGACTGTTCATGACAAGCCTCTAATAACTTCACTGTTCCCTCTCTCATCTTCACTTCATAATTTATTTTCTCTTGAATTTCTGCGTCTTCCATAACTAAACAATAAATTAAAATGAAAACAGAAACTTGATACTTTCTGTACAAGAGCTGTCAAACCAAAAAATTTAAATTTGGCAATATTTTGACATTGAAGGCTGGCTGGAAGCTACATCAGCCTTGCCTCATTGGCTATGCCATTAGCTCATATACAACTCAAGCTCATGGTAGAAAAAAATAGATATACAGTACATATTTAACTCCTAAACAAGGAGACTTTCTACAGGAAATCTACATTTTTAGGCATCAATTACCATATTAACTAAATTGTGGTTATTACTATGATTTTATCAATTTTATCTCATTAATTAATGGTATCAGATTACACAGGAATAATTATTACTTTCCAGTTTGCAGGAGAATATTTAGCCATGACTAAACAATATGTTCAAACACGTTTTTACTATCAACTTATACTATGAACCATACATTTCATGATTTTAAATACTACACAAACTGACAGGCAAGGCATCACTGCACTTCTGATTTCATTTACGGTAATTTAGGGTTGCTTTTTAAAAGCAAATTCTGAAAATTTGAATTCGAAACTAGTCGCGTATATTAGCAAATACATGGTTCTTGATAAGGATTTTAACATTGTTGTATTGTCAATTTCAAATCATCCTAATGATAACTAACATCTCCTAAAATGACTTTTCATATTTCTTTGCCCACGAAGCTGGAATAAAAAGTTTTTTGATACATAATGTTATTATATTTTGACGGAAATTTACAATATTGTTGCAATATTTAACCTCACGAACTTTATAAACAGAGATCTCAGGCTATTTTATTTTTATATCGTTTTTGGATTTTTTAGCCAAAATTCATAACGACTGGGTTTGATTCATAACAGCCATTGTGGTTGTGAAGACCAGTATTGTGTTTTTTAAGAAATCGTGTAATATTTATAAACTTTGCATGGAATACACTTTCAATATTATTTAATTTCAAAACTTCCGCAAATAATTTCAGTCCTTAGAATGTCAAAACGACATAGATAAGCTTTTTCAAAACAAATAGGGGAGATTATTTGGCTATTTATTAAGGTCCAGATGGCAGATTTTACCCAGCAGGCAGAGGAAATTGACATCATATTAAATACAAAAGGACAATATTTCGAAGTCTTTTCCACGAGGGTACTTAAAATTTTAAACATTAATATTACTCAAAGACGATCTTGATATGGTCGTAAAAACGCACAATGTTTACGTTTGTATGTAAATATAATAGATTTTACCTTTTGTAAAGCCAGCAGGCATTCACAGCAAGAGAAATCCTAGCTTCTTTCACATTTAAGACAACATTTTTTATTCTTTGATAAAGTTTACCTTTGCATAAAGACTCCTTCATTTCCGGTGAGAAACGTCATATCACCTACGAGATAAGACACCAGAGAGAGAGCCCCGGTACATAAACCTGCAGCAAAAATGTGAGGTTTCTTCTTCCGGCCGGGTAGTTTCCGTTATATTTAATTTTTTATTACTGAAAAACTTTTCAAAACTTATAGCGTTAAAATATCGGAATTCGTGCGCTAAAGCAATTCATAATGAACTTTTATTAATTAAAGCCCGATTTTGTTTATTAAATCAATTAAAACTGAGGAAAAACTTTCACAGTTTCTCCAAGATTTAATAAAATTGTTCCTTCGTTAATTGGAGTCCTGGTACAATATTGTTTTCACAATATTTAGGACTCATATGAACTAGTTTCGCCCATTCTTTAGAGTTCAGAAATTCTTGTGATTGTCCAGTATATTTCATTGGTTGAAAACTGCCACCAACATCAAACCACTAGCGTGTAAGAACTCAGCCATATAGGAGGATGGTGGCAATTACATTTACCTAATTATTCAGATCTGTATCTGGATTGAATGTTTCCAGGTCGAAAGGAAAGTCCTTCCATTTCTTACACCAGTGATCTACTGATTTAGAAGAATTTTTGACACGAAAGGACTCGATCTTTATCAACGGGAATTCGCCAAATTCATTCTTTGCTCGGTTACCCCAATCCCGCCTGCAATCCTTGCAAAATGTCTTGCTGTTCCGATTCAGACCACCACACATAATTTTGGGAGTGTCCTCTTCAAAGATGGCATTGTGGAGATTCTTCTCATAATTAGGAACGATAAAGGCCGTGCTGAACTTTTTAATGTCACGTGCCTTGCACGCAAATTTATCACATTTGACACAATGAAAATTGACATCTTCAGGAACCAAATTAACATTACTGGATGCTTTGGTAAGATTTTTCAAATATTCGTAGTAAACTCTTTGACGTTTTTCAACCTTAAAACAGGATGGTAAGATGTGAGTGAAATAATTGATTCTGGTGTGTTTAATGCTAAATTAAGATCTTACGGACAAGATTTAACGCTCCAGCCTTAATGTGCGTAGGTAGCTCAGTGACACAGAAGATAATATAACCTACCTTCTCCCGGAAATTTTCCTTCTTTGTCTCCTTTTCCACCTTCTTAATAGTTTCGTTCATCAATTTTTCTTTTTGCAAGTCTCGTTGTTTGAGCATGACCTGGTCACGAGGCACTATGATGTCATATTGATAGTCAACAGGATCGTTTGATCTGACTCTTCCCCGTGCTTGCATAAACGTAATTTCATTACCCGGCATGCCATAGTTGATAGCGAAATTGCATTCAGGAATATCAATCCCTTCCAACAGAACCGAGGTTGCTACAATTACATTGCATTCGCCATCACGAAAGCTTTTAATTTCTTTATCTTGTTGGGCTTTAGGCATTCCAACTGAAAATAATGGCAAAACACACACATTATCAATGGTATAAACCACAGTAAACGAATGAATTGCTGAGAAGTTTCTGTTGATCTGCTTTAAAATGAGTAAAGAACTTGATCAAAATTGATAAGAACGATCAAAATACACTGAAATTATGCTCATTACTCACACAGTTTTCTTTCAGAAGCTAAAAATGCAACTGAATTATATTTAGACAGTTACCTTTTCCATTCCGCTGACCACATCCAATAACTGAAGTTGGATTCTTCACCAAATCTTTCAAAATCTGCGAATTTTTCATCCAATTAACCAGAGCTGTGGCTGATTCTCTTGTTCGCACGAATATAATTCCTTTTGATTTCCCACCATCATCAGATGAAAACTTTTCTTGTAATCGTGTCTCGAGTTTTTTCAGAAAAGGGTTTGGTTCACAATGACTGGGATCTTCTTTGATGATTCTCTCTGCGTTCACAAAAAACTCGTCAAGTTTTTTCTCGACCTCTGTTGATTGCTCGTGGTTTAATGGGCTGATAGATTTACGCAAATATTGTAGTGCGTCTTCGGTACGTAACTCAATGTTCATCATCAGTGAATTATTGTAGAACTTGAGATGTTCAGCGCAGGTTAATTTATCCCTGTCTAAACCTGCACTGCATAACTTGACCACCCAGTTTTCATAGGGCTGACTACCATGCTGGTAGGTGGATCTGTCTGAAGATTGAGATGGTGAAAGCATCTTTTCAATATTGCACATGACATCATCGATTGTTCTATGAAATACGTTGCTTTCATCACGTGATATCGGAGTGATATTTGTACTGACGTCTTGTGATTCTCCGGTATATACCTGAACGCAGTAACATGTAGTTAAAAAAATGTATCAATCTATCAAGAATGATGCTGATTTAGTTTGGTTTTCTGTAGTAACACTTGACCAATAAGAAATGATCCTCACTGGCCTCCAGAATGGGTTATATAGAGTACTCCAGTATGAGTTTATCTAGTTTAAAGTTTTTTTTCGCAAGTTTTTTCCCTGACGCATGGCAAAAACTCGCGACCCGTGTGACTATTAGATTATCTTAAGTGGAACAATTTCGGAAACTAACTTGTAAATCATGGATATCCATATTAGCCAATAATCCCATGATGTGTTCTTCAGCCTTAGAACCTGATCCATGATTGCCAGTACCAATACCAAGAGAAGCTGATAAACCAATAATCTGTGGCAGGATTGGGGATTCAGCCTGTAGAAATAAGAGTGATTATAAGAAACTGACAAACGAAAGTAAATAATTTAAAACAAATTACCTCAAATTTATGTCTCAAGTACCACCTCATAATCTCATTGTATGGATGATCTTTGGTTGTGTGGTGACATTCATCAAACACAAGAAGAGAAAACTGAGATATTTTGACTCCTCCAGAATGATCTTCTTCATCAACTGCAGGCTTCTTCTTCAAACAATTCAATAACAACTGTGCTGTCATCACAACAACATTATTTTCTTTCAAAATAGTTGGAAGATGAATGTCCTGATAGCTACCACATGCACTTGATATTGATACAGAGTATGGAAGATATCGTTCCAAGTATGACTGTTGTTGCTCAACCAAGCTTACTGTGTTTACTATGAACGCAACAAACTTGTGATCCGGTTTTGCAGTGATGTGCTTGATCACCTCCATTGCAACAAATGTTTTACCACTTCCAGTAGGAGCACAGATGATGGAATTCCTGCCTTCAAGAGCAGGTTTTGCAAGCTCAAGCTGGTATTCACGCAATTTCAACTCCTGTTTTTCCATACCATCAACCAATATCTCACCATCTACAAGTTTAATATTTTAAGAATTTATATCAATGACTACAGGAAAAACAATGACAGTTAAAGTCTATAAAACTATTATTTTGAAACATACATTCTTTTGGGTCCTTAAGAGTGTTGTAAACTTTTGTAAAGTCTTCTTCATCAACCACAATATCAAACTGTATATCCTCATCTTTGAAACAGTTGTTCTGGCAGGGGAAACTTTGAAGCTTTTCCTTGATAATGGACTTCAAGTTTCCATTGGTAAAATCATGCCAAAATGTATTGGCTGCATCAACATCAGAAAAACGGAAAATCAAAATTAATTGACTTTTAATGTCATACGTTGACTTCACAAGATTGACAAACTTTTCAACATTCTAAAAATAAAAAGTCAAAGGATATGGTCAACACGTTAAACAATACAATCACCACTCGAATGTTGCAAGATCAGGTTCTGGCCAAAACTTTAAATTCAAAAATCTTGTAGTTGATGGATCAAAGCATAATACATGAAGTGAAGTAACTGAATCATTTCCCATTATACCTCGCTCAGAAAACCATTAAAATGTTGACGAAGATCACCAGTCTCATCACAATGAGATTTTTTAAATCTGTCACAGAATGTTTCCAATTCCTTAACCTGTTCCTCAGTTGGTTTTAACAGAAATATCTTTACTCTTATGTCTAAAAAAGTTAAAAACCCTTTTAGCCACAGAGGAATCTATCAATTAATATTTAAATACGCAATTAATGAGAAGAGAATAAATTCAGCCATTGGCATCCAACAGCAGTAGAATACCTGCAGCCACTCCTGCTTCAAGGACTCTCTCATCTTGCTTTTCATTTGAGATTGCACCAGTTACTACAGAAAAAATTGAAGTATTTAGCAATGAAGTTGGTGATGGTCCTGAAGTCCTAAACATCATTATTGCTTTATTAACTATTGCTGAGAGCCACCAGTAACTTCCATGTATGACTGTGGATATATATTATAACATGGGACTTACCCAACGTATTGTCATAATAATTTTTTGCTAAGTAAACAAGACCTCGATTTCGAAAACGTGTCCTTTATATTTAGTTCGCGAGGCAGGCCGGATTCCAGGTCGGTAATAAATGTTTCTGCCTATTTTTTAGTAGTTTAGAACAACGACATTCATTAATGTTTTAATATTTTGGTGTCAAATTACCTTCACACTTTGGGTCTAAAAGTTGAGCAGCGTGATCTTGTCCTGTTTCGCGAAGAGCCTTCACGAATTTCGAGAATGCCTGAGGACCCCTCTTTTCCAATCGTCTGAGAAGTTCATTTTCGGTTGCATGAATCGGACCGTGATTATTACAAGCTGTTTGAATATTTTCACAGTCTGACTTCGTCAGAGTGTCTCGTTCAAGAATTCTCAATAATTTCAAAGGATCTATTTCTTCTCTAATGTATCTTTCCCTTCTTTTAACGTTTTTCCACTCTCCTTCGACCATTGTGAAAGTAAAAGATATCTGGGAGCCGTGTTTCTCTTTAGCTTTAAAACAAATCTTCTCAAGTGCATCAAATCACAACAAGAAGTGAATATTAATTCGTTCTCGAATATTTTTATAGTCAGTTTACCGGGAATACCCGTTGAGGGAATTCCCAGAACACCACATACAATGACGTCATGTCTGCCAATTTAACTCTTAGCTTACCACAGCGATTTATGATGTATTTTTAGATAGCCTTTTCTGCAAAAACTATTATTTTTAATATATGTACTCAAATTGTTGGAGTTGTCAACACTATGGAATGCTTAATCACCGGTATAGCCGAAATGTTCCAAAACCTTTCATCAGGCAACCTCGTACCCAGGGTTTTTTCGCGGGAAAGGGGTTAAGGTACGAGTTTGCTCACCAGGTTGAACAGATTTCTCATCATCTTATTACGTTTGAGAGAGGCTTAAAACATAAGGTAAAATTCAACAGAAATGCGTAGAAGTAAAGTTCAATCCTAGTAGAATAACAGCTAAGTTTGCATTTTCACTTTTTCTTTGCGGCATTTCCTGTACGAACTTCCTGGAATTTCCCTTACAGTTCTAAGAATTTTCCAGTATCAAGAATATCAGTTGCCCATTTACTAATAACAGTTCTTTAAACCAAACAAAGTAGGAATTTTCAATAAAATACTAGCTTGTCATGGCGCATAATGAAGCGGAGGAGATAGCGAAGGAGTTGTTTGCAATGGTTTGTAAAAATGGTGGAATAATAGACGTGACGGATATGAAATTACGTTCACTAAGCAATGAAGCGGTTTCATTTTTAGACAAGGAAGGCTACTATCCACTGCTGCAAACATCCTTGAGTGACGTTCTAAAACTTGAAGTCGAGGTACCTGGTAATCGGGCCACGTTGAAAGCGAGAGTTGCTATTGAGTTATGCAAAAATTATGTCAATGGTGAATGCGTGTTTGCTAATTGTTCGCGATTACACGTTTGTCCTTCATTTATAAAAGCAGCCTGCGAAAATGCGAATTGCTCGCTTAATCATAATGTCTTTGATGAGCATGAACTAGGAATTCTGCGAAAGTTTCATCTCGAGAAGCTTCAGGAAGAATCATTGTTACCTTTGTTACGAAACGTCATCCTCGGACAATCTGATGGAATGATTGACAATCTTGAAGTATGCGCGTCTTACAACACCGTCCACGGTTGTCCAACCGGAGACTCCTGCATGAAATTGCATTTATGCACCGCTTTCTCTACAGGAGGGTGTGAAAATGTAGGATCTGACTGTGGAAAAAGTCACGACGTGCTGGAAGAAAAGATCCGTCTGACGAAAAACTTTACAGCACTTGAAAGGTCAGTTATTGCACAACGAATTATAAATTACCAAAATTTGATAAACTTAGCGAAGACAGTCGCTTTGAATCGTGCCGATCCACCAACAATTGACGAAGTATGTGGATTTCATCTGAGAGGAAACTGTCGCTATGGTCGTCTTTGTAAAAGACACTGGAACAATTTACCATATATCTGGCAAATTAAACTAACAATGGATGATGGCATAGAAAAGTTGGTTCGTTTTCCCGCAAAGTATAATCAATTGATTGAATGGGATTATTCCGACGTGAACAAGGATAAATCTCTGGAGATAAATATTAGCGGAGCGCAAGACTCACTCTTTCATATTTATTTCGAGGATATGATTGCAAAAACACAAGCAGGTAAGTCTTCATGATCATGAAATGTTCAAGTAAGCGACACAGTCATTTATGATGGGAATGTAATCCAAATTTAGGAAACCAGACGTGGAACATTCGTCGTTTATCGACCTCTTCATGGGTAAAGGCAGCGCCTGGGGATTGTTTTGGTACGAAATGGACCTGGTTTTGGCAAAACGATCAAAATAAATGGACCCCCTTTGATGGAGCTGGTCAAGACGCTTCTAGCACATCTCAGAATCCAAGCAGCAATGAAATACTTGAAGAGAACTTCTTATCTGGTAAGTTGAATGTTTGTATTATGAACCTTTGAATAAAGATCAAAAACCAAATCTTTATCATTCACAATTTAGGAGCACAATCTTTCACATTACCCTTGAATGGCTACACATATACCATTGACCTGACGAACAAGCAGCAGACGAATACAGGCACTGGGAAAACAAGGAAAATTCGTAGAAGACCAACTGAATTTGTTGGAGAGCAACGCTTTACTCCATTTCTGCAGTCAAGGCAAGAAATTAGGTCAGTTTTTATATGAAGGAAAAGTATTGACAGATGAGCAAAGGCCCCAGTTTGAATTTAGTTAAGTTAATACTTCCATCATATTCACATCTAGGAGACAACCAGCAGTCCAAACTCAACCATCACCATTAGCGTTACCCCCAGGCCCTACTGTGACTCTACCTCAAGGATGGACGCCAATGTCATGTGATCAAGATGTTTCCATGGTTACTTTACAGCAAGGATCGCCCGAATACCTCTCCGTAGAGGCAAAGTTTAAGATAACGCTAAGTAATAAAACGATTCATAAAATTGAACGTGTTCAAAACATGGATTTGTGGGAGTCATATTCAAGGTAGGCTGATAGGTAGATAGTGTGTTTAAGAAGATATTACTGTTGCCCCGGCAAAAAATACCGTTAGAGCTTTCCAGTAGAATAAGAAAGAGCTCCCGGGAACATGGAATGCTACTTTCAGCACCAACCACGCTAACTAGAAAAGACTATCTATATATAAATATATTGAAATCTGTTTGGAGCTGAGATTGAATCGAGGTAAAAGTAAAAAGATTCCACGCTTATTTTTTGTGGGTACAATTTTACAGAAAATTGTCAAAGCTTTCACGAAAATTGGGCAGACCTGCTGAAGTCAGAGATTTATTCCATGGGACAGGCGAGAATGCGGTAAACGCGATATGCCAGCAAGGTTTTGATTGGCGAATGAATGGTGCTCATGGTACAGCCTATGGCAAAGGATCGTACTTCGCCGTGGCGGCCTCGTACTCCGACGGCTATTCAAACGTATCACGAACGACGGGACATAAAATGATGTTTTTAAGCAAAGTCATCGTTGGTTTGTACGTTGTTGGCAACTCCAACACAGTGCGTCCACCGCCAAGAGATCCTAACAAACCTTATGAGCTCTACCATTCATGTGTGGATAACCAAACAAACCCAAGTATGTTTGTTGTCTTCGACAATGATCAAGCTTACCCACAATTCTTGATTAGTTACTCCTGACGATAAAATTTGACATGGACCTCAAATGAATTACTCATACTAAGAAAATAGAATTCTTTGGCATATTTAGTCCAGCAGAAATAATTCAAGTGTATTTGTTTATTTCACTTGATTACAAGCATATATATTTACTTATACAACGAACAATATCACCTTCAAAACTATCACCAAAAAAAACATTTTTTTTAAACAGAAATAACTATAATTTTAAACAAAACAACGGATCAGTTCAGGTTGGAGATTGGATTGAAATCAGCGGGAAACAATAGGGTTTTCTCGACACTTGTCGCGGTCTTATACACAAAATGTTCAATTTCATGGTTTAAATTGAAGAGACTTTGACGATATCAACTGATAATGTTTGGACATGCACTATTGCTATCCCCTTTTAGAAATGATTTATCAACATCGATCCCTACAGATTCTCCTATCGTTCACCAATGACTTTATCCAACTCCACAAACTATGTAACAACATAAATAATAAAGTTACTTTTTATTCTGTTCTTTATTGCTGTCACTGCTGTCTTCTTGTTTTTCTTGCCCTTCACCTAGCCTGGCTGCAGCAACGAGACGACGAACAGATTGTCTAGTTGTTCTTTGCTTACTATTTACAACATCTTTCACGATGCTGTTAATTTTTTCAACCAACTTTTCGTCGTCAGACTTTGATTCCAGCGTAGGACACGAATCCATAGAACCAGAATTCGTTTGTTCGCTTTCTTTATTCTCGCTTCTCGCGACTGGTTCTGTTATCGCGTCTTCTTTCTTAGATGGAAGAGCTATCGTAGTCACGTTTGTAGCACGTGATATGCTGGCGGCCGGGGTTGAAGTCGGGAGTTGGGGCGACTGCGTGTTGACTCGACTTGGAATCTGCGCGCGTTTCGTGTTTAAAGATGGGTTGTTTAGTTTGGAAATATTCTGCGTGATTGATTTAGCAGAAGCGGGGACTTGTATGAAATGCGTCGTTGGTTTCGCCAGAGGCTGTGCGGTCAATTTCACATCGGAAGGAAGACTTGATTTAGAAGAATCCCGGGGAACAGAATGCTCAGTTGATTGTTTCTCTGTTGTTGAAGGAATTAACTTCGTCCCAGGCTTCAAGGATGAAGAAGAGGACTGAATTGATGATGAACAAGTCTCTGTTGACGGCGGTGATGGAACATCATTCTGAGACTTTGATTTTGGTACTGTAACTGCAGTAGAAGACGTCATACTTTGCACTTTCGATGTCGTCGTGGTTTGGGTGACGATAGACGTCGCTATAGTTGGGGTATTCAGCTTTGGAGTAACCTGGGCCGAGGTGACCAGACTGGATACGCGCGGATCAGCCAGAGTTAGCACCTTTGAAGTAATCTGGGCAGCGTCTCCTGGTTGTTTTGACGATTGTTCAACGTTTCGAGATTGAACGATTTGCGCAGAAAGGTTGGTCAAGGTTTGTGAAGTGGTCAACTGCATTGCACCAGTTAAATTTCCTGTTTGAAGACCGCTTATTGACTTCAGTTTCGCCTTCAACCGTGCAATATTCATGGCGCTAACGTTAGAAGCATGAGTTGTAAGAGCTTCGGACGGAAGAGATCTTGACGCGACCGTAACGGTTTTCGATGATGATGAAGGGTTGTAAGTCACTGTTCGTTTTACTCCAACCTGAATGGTGCGTGCCATGGTTTGAGGTGTCGTAGCTTTCTTCACGAGATTCGTGCCTGTCTGAGAGCTTCCTGCGTGACTCACGCGAACAGTTTGTTTGGGTACGGAGCTTGTTGTTTGAGCTTTGCTAGTTGAGGTAAGAATCCGTGAGACTTGCGTCCCAGGTTGCTCAGAGGTGAGCTGTTTACTGACGGCAGATAACTGTCCTTGGTGCATGACGAATTGAGATTGTCCGCTGACAATTGCTGCCTTTGGGACGGTGACAATAGTACGAGACACAACGATTGGTTTAGAGCCAGATGTTGATGGAGCATTTGTAGAATTTGATGATAATGACGACGTCAGAGCAGATGTTATAGCCGATGATGTTATCAGTGCTGCTTGGGGGGTGGTAGAAATCTGGGGAGACACAGATGTCGGTGGTTTAATAGGAGCAGGGGTTTTATTTGGGAGGGGGGAAGTCACAAGAGCAGTCCTGTACTGCATTGTCGATGGAGTTGATAGGCCAGGTTTAGTAGGGGCACCAGCGACCTTTATCCCTCCATCTGTGTTAGGATTGACCACAATCTTTAGGTGATGGGTGCTCCCCGCAGTCCCCACTGTCGTTATTCCGGTGGTCGCTACCCCCGGGGATATACTCGCCGCTCCTGGGAACACGAAAGACCTACCTCCCAATGAGCCTTGCTTTATTACAGCAGATACCGGGACATTGACACCAGAAACAGGAATATTTACACCAGTTAAACGTACCCCGGGAATGCTTACCCGGGATACTGCAGATATTGGCACACTGACACTGGTCAGCGGGACTCCTTGAATGATACTGCCTGGAATTGTGGGATGTGTCGGTCGTAATGGAGCGATTGGAAGACCACCGGTTGGTCGAGCTGCTGGAGCAGCTGATTCTTTACCTGTTTGACCAGTTGCTGCAACCGGTTTATTAGCAGGTGTCTTTTTGACATTTTTCACAGTTTTTGGTTTCTTCGGGGCACTTCCATCAGCTGCTTTAGGCGTTCGTCCACGAGGTTTTTTGGCGGCTGTTGCCGAGCCCGCCGCGTCGCCGGCCGAACGCTTCCGATACTCCGTTTTTGGTTTCTTTCGTCGATTATCGACATCGTCAAAATCAAAATAGTTTAATCGTGGATGTGAGTCATCATTCATTGATGAGACAGCGTGATTAAGAAACTCGCCAATATCGTCCTATGAGTCAACGAATGTCTGGGATTTAATATTTTTTAACATTCGCCATACAGTTCTAGCGTAAAATTAATATTTTGAGCAGAAGCGCACAAATTGTGCTTCTTTCCAACTTTAAAAATATGTCTGCAAAGTTGCAAAACACTCTTTCGTAATTGTGTTTAATACCAAAAAAAAACGTTCCTGGCATCAACATGCATTGACTGTGTCTTAACATTGCCATAGGTATTGAATGGATATCAAAATATCGAAATGATTAAAAGATGTTATATTGCTTCTCAGTTCTTAAAACAGAACCTTTTTGTAAGGAGATAAACCTCTAACATAAAACGCTATAATTTTTTTCGCAATTTTCGCACAGCTGTGAAATAACTTGCATTAAGCACTAGAGTTTTACGAATGTAACAAAACATAAACGTGAAACATACCATGATCCTTCTGTCTACTACAGACTGGGTCACACGTTCCATTTTCCTTTTCGCGCTTGTGAGACGAAGCTAAATATAAGACGAGAACACACAAGTCAAATCGTGTTTGGTTTGCGATGAATTGAAGATAGTTCAAACAACTTGAGTTTTAGAACTTTACCTGATCATCAGCACCTCCGATCACTAGTAGACTAGTATCTGACATCAGTTTTCTTCGGAACTCCTGCACACAAAAAAAAGTTGAGGAAAACAGTTGAATTAAAAGATGTGAAGAAAAAATTTAGGTTATAACCTAAAAAAACACCAATATCCTGAGCTCCCTTTTTTAAAACTCTAGACCATTATTCCACAGCAGCGCTTCAATTTTAGACTTTGGGAGTAAATTAATTTTAGGCTTCAGGATTTAAAAATTTAGTTTATTCTATTCATTGCCCTGTGCACCTGAGTGCCCTGATTACAGCAAGAACATTCCTACAGCTTACAGCAAGAACATACTACCAACCTCAATATCTGGCAAAGAACATGATGTGGATAACGAACCAAAAACAAACATTGTTGGAGTTTTGTTTTCCAGGAAAGAATCACCACTTTCCTGAAAGATAAGAAATATTGATCACTTGCTTTGATAAATCATTTGTGACTCAGCATATTTTCACAGGCCCAAGTCACTGCACAATCAATATTGATCCACCTACAATCATACTTACCCCACGAATTCCTTCAACACCCAGGAGGGGAAAACCAAGGCAGACAACAGCACAGACAGACTCTTTTAATGATACCTGAAACAATGAAAAAAACAATTTCTACTTCATCATGTTTGTCAACGAAGTTGAGAATGGTATAAAAAACCTCACCTGGAAAGAGACCAAAGCTCCAGTCGCCCAACCGATGAGAACAACAGGACGGTTAGGAAAGTGATTTTTTAGCTAAATAAAGACATTAAAATTTCTATGAAGTGATCATACACTAAACAAAGAATAATAATCAAAATACCTCAAGAACTTTAGCTTGAACAGCACCAATCATGTGATCAAGACATTGGCCAATAGAAACGCCTCTACCACTGTTACTAAGATGCATTGTGACAGGGATTACTTTACCAAAGTGTGAAAGATGATGGTGCCAGAAGCGAGACCGTTTGGTTGAATTACCAGAAGCACTGGTAGTTGGTCCGCTTGGTACAATCAATAACAAAGGAGTTCCTGTAATCTTTCTCTGCTTGAACAAAGAAAAATATAAACTTATTACAGCAACAATAAAACATGAAATCCTGATACAATGGTTTACATCAGGCATGTATACTGATGTCATTCACTTACAGGTCTTTGGAAAGATGTTAGTGCCACTGTGGCATCCCAAGGTCTTTTTAATAATGCAGTAAGATTGTCTGTTGCCCCAGCTGAGACACGGCGATTGCTTGTGCCCCCTGCAATCATCTTGTCCACAAGCGTTGGTACCTAAAGAAAAATACTTATAAAACAAACTATGAAGAAGACAAGTTCTGAGATGAGTGGACTTCAACACTAACCTTTGATCGCAATGTTTGCACAATATCCAAATAACAAGTCAACAGTGGAACACTGAGACCATCAACCATTGAACTGTGTAACCAAGTTGTTAGTTTAGGTTCCTAGAAATACAATTATGGTGAAATGAAGAATCTCTGACATTTCATAGGATCATTTTCATAGAATTCATAGAATATACCAGTTGTAAATATACCTAACCTACCCATTCAATTCTGCTTAGAATTTGCCTGACACGTTTTGTGGCTTTATCAACAGCCACCCGACGAAGGATTGGCTCATTGGCCGACTAAGATAAAATAGAAAATTCCATTACTAGAGTCGATATAAGAAATGGAACTCAATCAAATTTTTTCTCGAAAACTTTACCCCTTGATATGTAAGCCATGAGAGACGATATGCGGACACAATCTTGAGAATCTTATCAAACAGTACATTTTGTTGCGTTGTCCAGCCAGTTCTAAAACAGTTTCATCATGTTTAATAGGTTGGCAAGTGAATTAGATATTTCAGGATTCAATGAATCTTTGTATAAAATATTAATGAAGTATATACTTTGCTTCCTAATCATTTGGGATATTACATACCTACAAATGAGCTCTTCCCAAGTGTCAGGTGTTCGTTTACTGGATGAACTATTAACATATTTCTCACATTCAGACATCACAATTTTGGACTTCACAACATCATATTGCATATTAACAGCAGCAGGCCCATTAAGTGGCTCTTCTTCAACCGTCTCAACATCAATAACCTCATCTACTTTAACCACTTTTTTGTCTTCGGGTTTTCTCTTCGCTTCAGATGTCGTCGTATCGTTGCCCTCTTCATACTCATTTTCTGTTTGCGGCCAGAAAAGGTTCTTAGCAGGCCTCGCATGTGGAATTTTTTCACGTTCAGACCACGGTCTACAGTAGTTATGATCAAGGTTGATAATATCAACTAAATTCTGTTGAGGTTTGACGTTATTTGTTTTCGGTAAAACATAATTTTCATCAATACTCGAAATAGAAGAAGCCGCCATCTTTATTTACATCACACGTGCCGACATCCCGGCAAAAAATACTCTGGAATTTTTCCCCGGGATAGATGAACAAAAAAATCGGTACGCACGCGTACAGGTAAAGTACGACGTCACTACCAGTGGTCACTACACGTCAGAACCAGCATTAACGCAGGGAACAGGGCAGTCACTAGATGCCTAATTGAGGGGGTCGAGTGGGAGGGTGTATATCCATATCCATTCCGCTTTAAATAAGCGTGAACACCATCGCTATCTAAAGGAATCAGTGGAGGGAAAAACATGTATTTTGGTAAACAATGAATATCATTTACCTTGCCTTCGCTGAAAGCAACCAAAAATGGATTATATAGCAGCCCTTCACATGGAATATCATTGTAATCTTTGTTTGGTGTTAAGATACATTAACCAATCACAATACATATTATGTACATACAACCAAATTTCTAAAGTTTCTCGTCATGATGAAAATAACAATCTAAGTTTGCAATAAAAAGCACAGAAGTTGCTGGACATAACAAAAGACATTCCACCCAGTTTGAAGCGAAGTGGATCGTGTTAAGAGTTATGCGCAAGATTGTAGTTGATAGAGTATGCTGCGAAATATATTATCCGATAACTTATCTTCTTCGCCACTAGGAATGTTTCGTCATGGCGGACTGATACATTCCTAGAATTATAATTTCCTAGAAAGTCTTTCTATGAAGCACACGAGTGTTTTCCTCTTCCCATTCTTTCTTGGAAACCCACATTTTCTTGAAAGTATCCAAAGAGGCTAGAATGGAACCCCTAGATTGGAAAGAACTATGAATTACGATACGAGAAATAAGAAATACTGCACGTCTGGTGTCAACTTAGTGCAACACTACTGTATTACTATTGTCAATGCCAGACGATTTTCCTGGTCTCTTACGGCGAAGTAATGTCAGTCTTTAGAACAGAGAGTCTTACCCAATCCATGTTGAATATAACCTTTCCTGAGGCGCTGAAATCTGCAACAAGTGTGGTTATAAAAGTTTAGAAAATGGAAACTATCAAGTTAAATCAAGTTAAAATTCTTTCCATCTTACTCTAATTTTAATATCCTTCGGAGCCAACTTTTTAACTTCGCTTAATAAGCGGTCGCCAAATCCTAAACAAGGACGAAAGTTGACAAATGTGGTAAAAAGTAGTGAAATGAGTTTTGAAGGATATTAAACCAGTCTTTCTTTTGTTTTTTTAACATTGCAAGAGTATCAAAAAAAGACATACCTTTAAAAAGCGTCGAACCTCCAGAAAGTACAATGTTACCATAAAGAGTCTTTCTAAGGTCCATATCTGACTTCTGAATGGTGAAAGCTAAAACCTTTCATAAGAGAAATATTAAAAAAAACTTTAATTCCAACGCCAGCCTTACGTCTGGATTCTGAAAGCTCATTCACTCTAACTCGTTGAGTGGGAGATCTGAATCATATCAACGATTCCATGTCGACTCGGATAAGAGCTTGATTTTCACTGTTTTACAAAGGATCAACGTTCACAACCTATATTCACACTCAATGACTATAAGTGCGGGTGAGTGAGCTTTTTGAACACATTGTTACGAATTGTTGAGTGAAACAGTCTAAATAAAAGAGTTCTATGAAAGTAAATAACAGTCTTAACCTCGTGTATCCCCTCTGATTCCTCTCCAATAAGATCAGGTCTAAATAATAATTCTGGTGCTCGATATCTTGACGAGCCAGGCTAGATAAGGATTGAAAATCATTTATTTTCTTGCCAATAATTTTATATCTATAAACGACAGGCACTTACATCAAGTATACTGCCATCAGGGAGAGTAAATCTCGCTTTATCTGTGTCCATTGGCTCCTTGAAATTGAAGGATTAATTTAGAACTATGAGAGAATATACTGTATCACTTCCACTGTTAATACCTTGTATGCTCTGGAAAGCTTATGAAAATTCAATTTTACTATGGAGTATTCATCTAAATTGATTCACTGACATTGGCTGGTATTCCCTGACTTCACAAAACGACAATATGGAACATATGGAACTCAATATAATGAAAACAACAAACCTCTTTGTAAGGATTCAACATAAAGTAACAGACTTGCTGTAAAAAAGCAGTAACAATTCAACATGAAGTAACAGACTTGCTGTAAAAAGCAGTAACAATTCTAAGAAAGTCCAAAGTCTTAGGAAAGCTAACGCCAGATTTTAAGCAGCAATGCTAATGAAAGCTAGCTAGACAATACAGTACCTCTTTAATTTGTTTAACTATTTCCAATTCTGAAGATGTATGAAACTTGAATCCTTCTCTTCTTAACAACAAACGTAAATAACGTGTGACATCCCTAAAATTATCACATTGAGCAAATTTTAGGTGAAAAATGTTGCCTATGGTTGCATAATAAAACATGGTCATTGCATTGTGTTTTGTACCTGCCAGCTAAATCCGTTCTCATGATAGAATGAGGCATTGCAAAGCCCTCATAAATAGGAACAGCATGAGAGACACCATCACCAACATCTAATACGACACCAGTTGTACGACCAGTTGAGTACAAACTTAGAACTGCTTGAAGAGAGACGAACAATGCAGGAACATTGAAGGTTTCGAAGAAGATCTGAAACAAAAGACCGTGTATAAATATAATGTTTGGGGAAAAAATATGAGACTTATATCTTGTATTATACATGTACATTATGTATTTCTTAGCTTATAAGTGGAACACAAAGAAAGAAATTGCAACAATTCATAACTTATGTACTCTCACAGATGTCATATTTTACAGTAATTGTACAGGAAGATAAAGATCCTCACTTCAGCTGCCTTCTCTCGGTTTCGTCTCGGATTTATTGGCGCTTCTGTCAAAAGAACTGGATGCTAAATGAAAAAAATGAGTGTAAAGAGAGAATCCTACAATCTGAATATCTCAATAAAAAAAACTGTTGACATAAAATATAAATTGTTCTAAAAGATATGCCATGTTTATAGGAACTGCATCCTCTGGATCAGCTAGAGTAAGAGTGTAGTGAATTTACCTCTTCAGATCTTGTTTGTAATTGATCTTTTGAATAAATAAACTATCAAAATATGAAATTTAAAATATCTCATTACTAAGCACATAAAGAATTACTAGAATTACTAGAATATTGGCCTAGTACATTGCATGCCTCCTTCAAAAAATGTCTTGGACAGAAGCATAATTAATACCTGCCATATTCTTTCCATGTCATTCCAGTCAGTAACAACACCATGCTAACAAATAACAAAATAAAACACTTTTGATAAACAGTTTCAACAATTAGCAAATTCCAAATATTCATTTCCAATTACCTCCATTGGGTAACGAATGTTCAAAAGACCTCTATGTTCCTGAAGAAATTATCAGACATTGAAAATCAAGATTGAAAAAAGTGGAAGATGACTTTCAGGTATTGAAATAAGTATTTATGATAGTATACAAACACACACAAATGTTGGAATGACCACTGCACCATGGCTATAGAAGTGATAGGACATGTTATATTCTCATTTCACTACTTTAAAAACCATTTTGTGCTTTGTTGGGTAACCAGGCTCAGGTGAACAACCCCATCAATTACAGCAAGATGTAAAATAAATCATCTTACAACACCTGTGCTCTTGGGCCAATGAAAATATCTCCCTCTAATGCTCCAGCCATAACTCGTACATGCTTTGGTCGACCAACACTACAAAATGATTACAGATCACTTGTTTAACTTCAACAAATCTAAGAGCTAGGTAGTTGCAACTGTACTGATGTGTTTCCAATCTGAGAAAAGCATTACAATTGCAATTTATTTTCTTAGCTATGTCATCCTGATATATAAAAAGCTCCAATATAACCAAGCAGCAGCGTGCAGCATCTTCAAACAAATTAGCATCAAATGTGGTATAACAACTGCCTAAAATGTTTTGTCTATTTTAGGCAGTTGTTATACCACACCTGATATAAAATATTCAATATTTAAACTTACTAATTTGCAAAGTGGCATTTTGGTACTTGATCGCCTGCAAATCCAGCCTTGATAACACCAGAACCCTTCGAAATCATTAAAGGAACGATTAAGTTTAGGATTACAATATAATTCCAACAATATATAATGAAAATTCTCAATATTTCGACTAAAGAGTCTTTCTTCTTGAAAGTTGTTTGCTAAACATATGAACTGCATGATAGCTGGGCGACCAAGGCGATGCCCAGTAACTCTTCTAATCAATCAAAAACATCATCTAACATTCGAAAAACAATTAGAACTTACATTGTCGATTACAACTGGCTGATTTGCTATAACATTGTAGTGATCCATAGTTCCAGATTGTTATTTTTCTTCTATTATATCTTCCATAGAACGATCATAGACGAAGGGGCGTGGCTTATCTGGACCTTCCGCTGACAAATGTAATCGTGTGTTCACCCAGAATCCGATGAACTTTGCGTCATTGTTTTACGGTTTTTCTTTGGTTTTAGAAAGAAAAACTTAACAACGAACGTCTGCGGTTGGAATTCCAATACTTTAGTTAAATATGAATAACAACTATCAATATCCAGTTTGCGTCAGTTCGATAGATACCCTGAATCAGACTTTTCACTATTTGCGCAACTTCCCAGTTCCAATAATATGGATATCGCTGATTTGGCTAATTATATATTTTTAAACTTATTATACTAAAATATATACTTATTTACTCTAATTACGTGAATGTTAAAAGTTTGATATTGTGCTTTCATTTCATGGTAATTATAATAGATGTATAGTGCTGGTATTACCTTGATGATAAATTAAAATTCCCTATCTCATAACTATATAAAATTTCCGTACTTTGGCGATTGGGCAAAAGAATATTATAAATAGTTGATCTAGTTGCTTGTCTTTAGATAAAATAAACGGTGAATGGCGCGACGAACAATTGAACTTCTCTTTACTATTGACCGATTTCTTTACATTGGAGATTTTCTTCCTCAAAATGAGTTATGAAGTTGGTGTGAAGTCGTCAAGCGATTCTAACAAAGCCCCGACAGCACCAAAATATCCCTAGGGACACACGTTGAAAAATATTTGAAATTAGAGTTCACAAATCCATAAAACTAGGAAGATTCGTATAGGGGGCACCGCATCAATACCTCGTGGAGAATTTCTCCCTGTAAATTACTCGGACATTACCTCGTGTTCCAAGAAGATCGCTTTCATAGTTCCTTTTGACCAAAAGTCCATGGCGCGGGCTAGCATGCTCATCGACAGACTGTTTTTCCGTAAGAAATTCCCAGCGAAGATGACACGATCTATACCCTCATTGATCGCGCACATTCTTGCAATTGATCCAATGTTATTCGTGATCATCATGAGAGTTGCGCAAGCGAGATCTTCTCTCCTCACATTGGCGCGTTTCTCAGGAAGTATCATCGAGCCAAAACTGCAAACGCAGAATACATGATGAAAAAAATGTTAAGTGTCAAGTGAGTTACCATTACGACCTTATACCAGTAGACTGAACAGCTGTATGGACTGAATTACAAAGGACGAAGCTCGACAACTCTACTTTATCTACTCGATAAAGTCAACGACTATGACTGACCCATGTCTGACCAGGAACGCTCAACTCTGATGGAAGCGTTATATCCAAAACTATTTAATTTTCTTATATGCCAGTATCTCTCAACAAAACAATTCCTAGGGAGGCTGATTGACTCACCTGCTTGCAACAACGTCGCCAGGAAGTCCAAATCTCGTATAATCGCCACCGTAAATATCTTTGACCAATTTATCCGCGTTTCTGTTGTCACCTTTGGCTGCGAGTTCTAACGCTTCCTCGAATGTCTTGCAACCCGTCAGAAGACAACTCAGTCCAACAAATGTTCCACCTCCTAAACTAAAAACACAGGTGTCATAACTCGTGGTTACAGTGGTCTGGCGTTTAGCAAATATCAAAACAAATTGCAACTCAATTACTTACGCAGATCCCGTGATCCTATCAAATTCACTGGATGAACGCACGGCTAAGATGCTGACGCCAGAACCAACATTGACGACGATGAAAGGGTAAGGACAAGCAGACTGAAAGTCATACGTGATCTTTTCTGGCTTGGCTGAATTGTCTGAGAATTTGAAGTAATAACATTCACCAATAAAGTTGGCGTCAATGAAATGAATTCCTTTGATTAAACAATGCAGTTCATCACTTTTGACAAGTTCAAGATCTAAAACCTTTGAACGAAAAGAAGAGAATCACTTACTAGTCTAGTGGAATGGGATGTGCACATGACAGTTGATAAACATTGATATGAGTTGATAAACATTGATATGAGTTGATGAAAGTGGATGAGGGTTGATTGATGTTGATGAGACTTGATGAAGGTTGATGATGGTTGATAAATATTGATACGAGTTGGTGAACGTTGATCACTAAGGTTTGGACGAGAAGTGACAGGAGATGCATCACTGAAGAAGATTTACCTCTTTAAATTCTTTCTCAAATTTATACGCTCCACCACCGGTAGCGTGAACCTTCCTTTCCGAAAAATCCTTCGCTCTTTCCTTCGCAAGTTCAAAGAACGCGTCCATTCTGGACGTGGGAAAGCGAATAAAATGCATATTTCCTTTTCTTGTTCCCAATTTGACGTCTTTCAACTCCAGTCTCGTATCACGCTCCCCTTCGGAACCATACTGCTGGGTTGACTTGACGAACTCTTGAACAGCAGCGTGGTTAGTCGCACAATACGTGATGTTATCTCCGTTCTCGTAGTACTCAAAATACGCGACTTTGGCCAACGTTCCTCCAATGTCAACGCCAATCCAAGGTAAAGATCTTCCTGCAAAATTATGTTTAATAATTAATAAGAAATGCAAGAAAATTTATCCATTTCACGAACGCAAAATATGAGCAAGTGGTAGGCCATTTATCAGAAGGGGCAATGGGCAGGGTAAAGAATGGGTGGCGCCTATGGATGATGAAACTATTGCGGGAGTCTCCCTGTCTGAAGTTTGCACAATTTGATACAAATTGAATGAAATAAAATATTTACCAAATTACAATAATCACACAGCATGGCACCCGCAAAATGTAAACACGATGGAACAGCCAGTTCAGGTTTCAAAAACAACACAGAAAATATCATCCCAAATGTATACTAATCGATGCGAAGATATTCGTATATTCAACATAATGCAATAGGCAGGGTTTCAACAGATGATAAAAAGGAATCTCTTTCATACTTAATATATTTCATGGAGAAATATTCAGTGTGTGACACGCTACTTGTATATATTATGTAATCCTCCAACATACCTTGGTTCTTCGGTTCTGCAGTAAAATGAGATTTCTCGTCGTTAGATTTAGCCCTCGCAGACACGATACCTTCAGCCATTTGTAATGAAAATGAATTGGTCTCTGATTTACGATAGACCAGAGGAAGGATTATATCCTGTGCCACGCTGTGCCAGGATACCAATCCATAGAACGCTTTTTCAACCCACTTTTGACTTCCTGATTTAACACCAAGGAATTCTGAAAGACAGTGAACTGCGGTTAGACATGCATGGATTTCAAGAAACTTCTCCGGTGATTTCAGGATTTACAGAAATCATGAAACGAGTATCGGTTGAGTGACAGTTGATTGCGCAAGGTTGCCACCAGTCGAAATAGCCGGGACGTCACAATGGGTTATTTAATATTTGCTGAGTGACTTGAAGGACTAAATATTGATACTATGCCTACGAGAGAGAAAAAATCATTGTCGCCTTCGGAAGTACAAACAAAATAAAAGATCCAATTTAAATATTTCGATACGCACGTCAGGAATAAATGTGATTCAACAACACAAGCACGTGGGAACGCTTGAGATTGCAATAATCCTATTCCTTTGGTTAATATTGTTCTCAAAATAAGCCCTCGATTGAATCAGAAAGGAATCGTGGAAAAACCTACTTAACTAGATATGCGAATGGAAGACTTGATTGTTGGATGACCATCAAGAAATCAAGCTGGAGATTTGCCTGAATGGCTTTTCAACAACTCTCTCGAAAGAAGTACTTATAATTCGCAATTAAATCTTAAAAAAGACAAAGACTTGTTGCAAACTGCAAAAATATCATCCAGCATACCAGAAGGCAACCCCTCTATATTTGACCGTTACTATTTTTTCATCGTGTTTCACTACACTCCATTCCATAGACTAGTCACACTTTCTGCCAATTTCGTAATTTATTTTTTTTAAATTTTGACTATCTATTAAATTGAGGGTTGAGACATTTTCATTTCATATTTCGGGCATTTAATCAACGGATTTTCTGCTGTAATTGAAAAAGCTACACCATGTTGTCCACTTTCATTTCATTTTTTTCATTTTATTGACAAGTTTACATCAAAAAGTACAGATACAAATCACGTTAGACTTTCATCAACTAATAAAAACTAAAAGTAAACTATTTAAAGTTAACTAATCAGTACAGTTCGCCCATCATTAAAACAACTAATGAGGACCATCCAGTGAATGGATGACATCCTTTGCCGAGACCAGTTTTATCATCATAGTTCTCCCAAACGTATCCAGTCTTACGATAATTCTCGAATATATTTTTTATTATATTCTTGCGTAAATCTTCGTATAATTGTGAGCATAACTTCTGATAGGGACCCTCTAATTGAGAGTAATGATTCAGTGAACGTACAGCCAGAAAGTTTAGGTTAATCCAGATTGAGCCGCGCCAATATGGTGCATCGTGTTCCGTATTACGTTTGTCGTACAACGGATCAGATTTTGACAACGATCTTATCCCAAAATCACTCCATAGTTCATTCGGGTTCCTGATATGTTCCAAAGTATCCCCTAGCTTGTTGGAGTTTGCATCAAGTAGTTGTAAGAGAAATGGGAACAGGCTAACGTATCCAATGCTATCAACAAACTTCTCTTCAGGACCCGTTTTGTACACAGTTCGGGCAACCCTCATTGGCGCTCCTGGTTTCGTAGCAACGTGGCGTAAGCGAACGTATTTCGTATGATTTCCATAATCAGCAAAACTTTTAGACTCGGCCGACCAGATAAAGTTGTGAGGATATTTTCATCTCTTAAATATTCATACGTCTCTTTATACCGTCTGGATTTTTTGCCAATAGAATCGGTGATGTCAGCCATAACGCCTGATATGAAAGCCATCCAACAGCGAAGATCCAAATGTCTTTCATTATTAGAAGGATGTGAGGCTCTGGGATAGTCATCTAATCCAGATGTTAGAGTCTTAGGATTTAGTTCTCTGTCTGTGTCCCCATCTCTACCCCGCCAGCGATAGGTAGAGGGTGCCTTCCCAACCTGTGTTGTGTTCAGCCAGTTGTACCAAGCTCGTAGACGAGGAAAGAGCTTGCGCAGGTAATCACCATCCAGTAAACCTTTCTGGTGCAGCGCCTTTATGGAGAGGAATAATGCAGGGGGATTGGCCTTCTTATTATGTTGAACAACAAACTCTGATGGGACTTTTGTCCGCGCCTCATCACCCAAGATCTGTTCACGCGGAATCCAACCTTGAAACAAACAAGTCAAATGTGAAACAACTACTTACAAAATGTTTTTGATTACTAATCCTATAGTTTTAATCAATGCATTTTACAGTTTGGACTGTAATATTTGATAGAGACAGAGAAGCAATTATAACTGCAACAACTTGATCAACTATTCTGCATTGACACTTTTCAACCTACCTTCAATATTCATCAGGTCAAGCCAATATCCAATCACATCTGTACTAATAGTGCTATCCCATTGGCTTATAAGCAGTTGGTGAAACCCCTCATCCCAGAGGAAACCTCTGGGGAAGAATGACCGGGAAGGGACACCAGTGTATAGTGAACTCTCCCAGTAATCAACAGGTTCCTTGACACGATCTGAGATGACCAGCGATGTTCCATGAAAATAACCAATGCCACCAATTGCATTGCCAAGTGTTGCCTGGGCAAACAGAATTTCATCCGTACTGTACCCATTTTTCCGAAGCTTGAATTTTTGTTCAAATTTCTTTTCAAAATAGTCACTATACTTCATGAGATTTTCTTGGAATACGGATCCTTTGAGCTTGTTAATTCTATCTTTAACACTCTCAGATTCAAAAACGATTTCAATCGTAAATGGCAATTCAAACACACCACTAAATACAACAAAGTTTTCATCTTTGTTTTGATTTTCTTTGCTCATTTTTCTTCCTTGTAAGCCAAGCAACTGCACTTTGCCCTTCTTTCCCACATTAAAATACCCCAAGTTCTTCATGACAACATCTTTGGCATTGTGAACCTTGTCCAGATGTGTGCTCAAGTAGGTGGAAAGTAGATTCTTATCACCATCAAAGAAAGACAGCTTGAAACCTCCTAATTCAGGAGTATTTCCTGATACTGAAGACAACTTTCCATTTTGGAATTCTGGAGTCAGTGTTCCAAAACCATCCTTCATGACATAAAACATGACTGACACTTGCTGGTTCTAAAAGAATTTTAACGGTTTCATTTTAACCTCATATTTAAATACTAGGGCTGGAAACAGCAAACTAGGACACATCTGGGTATTTTATACAATAAACAGATGTAGTATTCGTATTATACATACTGGTTTTCCACCCATATTTTCAAACACTTGGCCAGTAATGCGAGCCGTCCAATCTCCACCATGATCACCGCCAGTTCTTTTGACAAAATCAGTACTCAACATATATCCATGATCAACAATCTCTTGCATGCCAAAATTAATCCCATCATGTCTAATCCAGCCATATCTTGGCAGCTTATCACTCTGTTCACAACTATGTCTGATATGAACACTGCCGTCATGAGCCCTTCCTGAAAACCACATCAAGCCAAGCATAAGAGACCTGGGGCTACGCGTACGGAGACCAAAATACAGATTTGAGCGATAGGATCCCCAAAACCTAAAATAAATTATACTTATTTATTTTGCAATTACCAGGGTTAAAAATTGGATCAATTTTTTAGAGTACCAACCTTTTAATATCACCCATATCTCCAAGTTCTGACCTTGAGGTCATACGACGAGCTTGAATTGGAGTGTATAACCTGCTACGCATATATTGCTTCCACCAAAAATAGCCGACAACACAAACGCACAAGAATATTACAAATAGTATAAGCATTGTTGATGTACTTGGAAGCTTGCGTCTAAATTTGCTTTTACTAGAGGAGCTTTTTGTCGACTTTTTGCCAAGATGTTTGGCATCTTTGTCAAACCCTTGACGCTTTCTAGCAGCCATTATAAATTTTGAAAAAATTAAAACAGTCGATCTAAAGACATTTACGAAGCATTTTTTCATTCAAAATTTACAAAATTCAAAACTTTGTTTGTGACTTTGTCCCATGAGGGTTCAAATTGCTCCGCTGACGTGCATTTGCATAACGAAGTCATCCCGAAGATGATCGACTGGACGTCGGGATTTTTCGTCAGTAACAATTGGGTAAATATTGTCCACAAATTTCTGCATTCACTACGGTCTCTCCATTGTTTTTCAACAATAAAAATCTAGATATCGTATTTTAAATACTAAAATACAATTGGAAAAGAAAGACTTACTTAGATCTTTTCTCCTTTGTTTGATTATTGTCTAAAATTAAATAGCACCAGTGTGTGATCGTGATTTCGTCGGAAAACGTCGTACCACCATTGACCAGGTTTTGTTACTCTAAATTACTTTAAAAGTTGTTCTTTACTAGTTTCGGGACTCCAATTACGCCGGAAAAGGCACAAAACCACTAGATGCAACCAATTATTTTATCTCCTCTACTTTCAAAACAAATCCTCTGCAAAGAAATGGAAAATTTACGGTATTAACGCCAGAATGTAAATTTTTGAACAAAGAGAACGTAAATATTACTTCCACTATAAAAAATTGCATTTCCACAACTTGATTATGAAAGTTTATTCAAAATTACAACGAAGATATTATCATTCACTAAAAACAAGCCATTGCTATTCGCAACTTGATTTGTAAATGCACTAATTCAATATTTTTATCAGATGGATTTAAATTTCATGCCATTTTTACATAGTATAGATTAGAAAATTTCCTTAATTAACCCTTTCTTTCAAAATTATCGCCCGGGATGTTGCGTAATATCCACAATCCGTTTGCCTATACTGAGCTATATATATGTAGAATAAATCTGAATGGAAGTGGGTGCATCTTTTGTCCCCCTTGCACTTTAGTAAAAGGTGGGAGCAGTTGCCCCTGCATTTTAACACAATAAGGCAGTGTTCTGGGATTTTAACCCAGAGGCCAAACATAAAAGCACTGTTTAATGAAAAAACGATAATGATTTAACTTTTTAAAATAGAATTCACAATAGATCTTTGTTTGGCCCCAGACATGGACACTGTTTTTTGCCAAACATGAAATGGAGGGAAACCGGAGTTCCCGGAGAAAAACCCTCCTGACCAGAACATGAAATCCGGATCTCAGGTTACTGGTCTGGTCCGACATTTTGGTATTTTTAGTTGGAAATTCCGCAATAATTAATTGGGGCAGGTTTGCCAGTTATTTTTGTGCTTGTATTTTATCAATTTTTAGAGATAATCTGGCAACCATGTGGACTATTTTTACGGCATTACATTTATACATTATCAACGTTTTTCATCAGACCAATCTTTAAAAATTGCCACGCAATTTTTAAGGGTTCGTCAAATGATCCTGGTGGTCTGAAACATGCACAAAGATTTACTTTAAAACGACGTAACATGCTTAAGGCATCAGCATAAAAAAATTACGTATGGCTAGTGGGGATTTCGGTAATATGATCCGTCGTTATAAAACCTGGCCAAAATGAAATTGCATTAATCTATTCAACTGGTTTTTCACATCCTTAGAAAATTTTAGTAATATCTTAACATCGTTATACAACCTAACCAAAGTGAAATTACATTAATCTATTCAAACTGGTTTTGCACATCCTTGGCTTAGAAGATTTCATATATCATCATCAAATCTATTGTTATAAAACCTAAAGGCCTAAAGTGATATTCCTATTAATTAATCTATTGAGATCAGTTGCAATAGCGTCATTCAGGTCTACATTTACAACATAGAGATCAGATGCGGGAATAACAGTGTCATCCAGTGTTCATATTGAGATCAGTGGGAAAAAAAATCGAGCGCGTATAGAGCGACCCCTTAATTAAATGTAACTTCAGCTTTATAGCTATTATTTAGAGATCAGTTGCAAAAAGACTCAACATAACCAACTACATAGAGATCAGTACAATTGTGGACGAAGTCAAATTACTCTCTATTGCGTCGATTATTTTGCAAGCAATATTTAATTCGTATACAAGAAATCAAAAAAACACAAGAGACAACTTCTTTCAAAAACGAGAACAAATTTCTTGAAGTTCCAGAGTCCCAATTTAGAAGAATTACGGTGAAATTTCAACATAATAATTTATAATAATAATATAGATAATTCACAAATTTATTCTAATTAACGTTCACCCTTATTAATTAATAAACTTTATTCTATTCAAGATTCGAATTTATTCAAACAATCAAATTATCAACCATTTAACCTATGCTATTTTCATGCTTTCCCACGAGCTTCGAAATAAAAACTGATAAATAAAAATTTAATTCAAACTAAAAAAATCCTTATAATACTAAGAGCATAGCTAAACTAAACTATTACTATTCACTATCCTATCAAAACTAATCTGCTGTCTATACCGGCCGGTACTATTTAACTAAACTTGCTAACTATTTGGCAACTATTTTTACTTGATAAATAAAAAAAAAATTATTATAATAATATACTACATTTATAATTTATTCATCTGGTTTTGCAAGCCTTAAAAGGTCAATTTCCCTAATTAGAGCAAAGTAATTTATGTTGTGGCATGCATAAACAAAATATTTTTACACCTAATTTTTGATCTTATACATATGGATCGAAGAATAGGGTGTCTATAATCATGCTATAACTCAGGCAATTATTTTTAATGTCACATGCACTTATTCATGCTATTATTTTGGCAACTATAATTTTATTTGCACATGCACTTACAGAAATCAATGTTATGGCATGCATTACCTCGATATTTTGTTGCAAATTTTTGATGCCAATGCCTTATGTCCAAACAAACTCATACAATCATATATGCATACCTGGTTCTTGTTCACAGTTACCTTGGTACAAATTCCATTCTTCAAGTTGTGTTCATGCTTCATCATTTTTAGACACACTATTAGCTACTTATTTCAGTGATATCATGCATTTCACCAATTGCATTACACATTAAGTGATAAAACAGGAACATGCATTTTTAAGGAATCAAACATGCTGTATACATTAATTTGCTCTGCATGCAATCTCAAACTTTGATTTATTATCATTGTCAAAGTAGGAAATAAGAATTTCACTTAATGTCTAACACATTCAGTGCAGACCACCAGGAAAACAAGCATGCACAGACATCCAGGATAGAATACAAGAAAATGGAATAATACCACCTATCAAACCTGTCTTCAGTCCATCATCATCTGTCATCGGGTGGTCCATCGTCATCGGGTGGTCCATCGTCATCGGGTGGTCCATCATCATCTGTCATCGGGTCGTCCATCATCATCTGTCATCAGGTGGTACATCGTCATCTGTCATCGGGTGGTCCATCATCATCTGTCATCATGTGGTCCATCATCATCTGAAATGAGACATTTCTGAACCAGGCGCGGATCTAGGGGTAGGCAACATAGTCAAATGACTATGGTAAATTATCCAGATATTAATTACAAAATTCACAGTTCCCAATTCCGAAAGTATTCATTCATAAGTGGAAACATGCAGTTCATTATTCATATTTTCATATCACAGCAGTTATTTATTAATATACAGCTCATTGGTATTTAGGCAAGCCATGAAGCAAGCCAATGAGAGGCAGCTATTTTGCCTATGCCTGGCGGCCGATACAGCCTTTTGATTGGCTAATAGCTTTTTTGCCTAACCAAGACGAATTTGCCTAACTTGACGTAATCAGGAAGCCTTATGATTGGGTAATTTTTTTTAAATCTATTCTTTCATTGGCTAGCAGATTTTGCCTATATTTGGCGAGTTGAACCAATCACTGTGCTTCGTAAGCATGCCTGTGTTAGTCATGTTAGGCAAAGACTAGGCAAAGAGTGGAAACATGCCCTTTCAATCGCTCTGAGCATCGAAGGATTAAATTTCGCGTTCGCTTTGTTATTGTGTTATTTTACAATGTCTTCATCGTCTTGTAGTGATTTGTACGAGCCATTCGAACGATTTAGAGTGTCTAAATGACGCGATATTTATGCGACGTTTCGATCTTTGTATTTATGAAGGCGACACGCTCTGACAAGGCTTTTTGTGTGGAGTTATATGTGCCGAAGCACGCTCGTAATGGCAAGAAAAAGGCTTGTACTGCAATAAGCTAACTATATTTTGTTTATTCCATGCTACGCTTCTATATAACTGTGTTTTTAGATCTCAAATCGGCAAAATGATTGTCGAACAACAACAAGGATGGCTAGTCTTTATGTATTCAAATATAAATTTACATATGTCTGCGCTGGCCGGGTCAAAGGTTGCTATATATGAATATATAACTTAATATGATAAGAAAGACACAAACTTAGCATGTTCACTTTTAGTTACTTATTATTATTCGTATTCCTGATGTATATCACATGTATAAATACGTTCATATGAAAATTATGAGTGAATATACATCATGATGTTGACATTGTAATTCTGCCGTCAGTACGCGATATAATTGTGAGATACTTGATCTAGCGTGATTTTAATTTCCTGTTTTGAATATTTTCCTACTTCTCCTAAGTTCTGATGCTTCAGCTTCGGCCCTGGTACTAGTAGGTAACAATAATACTCAAAGTTGGGACTACTCAAAGTAGGGACTAAGGAATACTTTGGGAATAAGTAGACTCTCCCCTCAATGTCATCTCAAAAACAATTATTAGCGTATATTTTTAAAAGTGTATCCTTAAAAAATCGAACATCTTTTAATATGCCTGACGCCATACGTGACGTCATAAATGACGTCATAAAATTTGACTAAGGTATGAAAAATCCTAGATCCGCACCTGTTCTGAACATCTGAAATGATATGAAACAAGGTCACCAATGGTATGTTACCTGCATGAGCTCCACCACATCATCTCCACCACGACGCTCATTGTACATGCGAATACAAAATTTTCATGCATTTTCGAAATACATGCAAATTTGGAGAGATTTATTAAACACATGCATTCATTCGAAAATGGGATAGACATTTAACACTCGACCATTATATCATAAGATCATATCTCAACATGCATCTTTTTTTGTGCTCCAAGAGCAATATTTTGCCTATGCCGGACTAGGTCAGTCGAGCATACAGAAAGTATAAATGACCCGGGCCCCTGATCACTTATACTTACTCCTTACTCCTGACAAAACACGCAAGATATAACCAAGGGTTGGGATCTGAGCTGCATGCAATCCAAAAATTGAAAATTAAAAACAGAGGAGCCTCAAATGTCTGGGAATATCATAAAATGTCTGGTTTAATTTTGATTTCATAAAATGTTTTGGTTTGAATTTAATTTTAGATTTTGTATTTGCATGCAAAATGGTAACATTTCTCCATAATCACAACTAAAGTAAATAAATGAAAGAGTGATAATAAGCACAATATCCAGATGCCTATCAATCCATACTTCTGATGGTAGCATATGTTTATACAGGATTATTTAGGGTGTTCCAAAAAGTACTCTCAGTTTCAAGTAGGGATACTACAATAGGTGTTTAGTTTCTTATGTTGGTTTGTTGTATTCGTTTCAAATCAGAAAATACATTTGGTATACCACTTAAATGTAAGTTTTGAGAAATACAAATCAGTCTAAACATAACATCAGGTTTTTCACATAAAATAGAAAGAATCATTCCTTAATGCAAAGTTAAGGACATTTCAATGGTATTATGGTACGTTGCGCAAACACAGTAAAATCATCCAGGCATGTCCAGGCATTAGGAGTGATGTCAGGTTAGATCTGAAATCCGGTGATGTGATTGATTTGCGAAAATCAATTTGCCTCGAATTAATTTGCCTCGAATTAATTTGCCTCGTGGAAAACATTTAAATTATTGAAGTACAGACTTCACTACGATTTGCAAATACACAATGAACTTTTAAATACACAATGAACTTTTAAATACACAATGAACTTATTAACTTTTGGCCTTTTAATGAACACCCGCGGCCGCAAATGGTACAAAGCACATGCGAACTCACATTTTTACGGGATCAAAGAGCAGAATGATTATGAATGCTTTTAAATCAAACACATTTATTTATATAAACATATATCAACTTTTTATTGCAGTGCCATATCAGTTACAAACGTCCATACTATAAATGCCGCGTGCTTCAAGACCTTCATTTGAAAAACTGAAGACGGCGAGCGGCGAGATCTATAAACAGTAAGAAGCCCCGCATGGCGGCCCCAATACACCAAAAAATACTTGATTCTTCTGCAAATTGATACGAATACTCAGGCAGGACTACTTTATCTTTATTTACAATAATTTTTTATAAGAAAGCTTGAAAAACTAAACAATATGCTCTAAAAGTTAAACGGCGGCGACTACAAGTCTACAACAGTTTAAAAAAGAACACGAGCGTCGCAAAAACCGCACATGCATGCATGGAAATTGGCTAAAAACGCTGAAAATTTGACCTAATTCTTCTGTAAATTGATACGAATACTCAGGCAGAACTACTTTATCTTTACTTACAATATAAGAAAGCTTCAAAAACTAAACAATAGACTGAAAGTTAGAGCCGCGACTACAAGTCTACATGCAACAGTTTAAAAAAGAACACCAGCGTTGCAAAAACACGCACAAGGAAATTCGCTAAAAACGCTGAAAATTGACGTAATTCTTCTGTAAATTGATACGAATACTAGGGCAGAACTACTTTATCTTTACTTACAATATAAGAAAGCTTCAAAAACTAAACAATAGGCTGAAAGTTAAACCGCGGCGACTACAACAGTTGAAAAGAACACCGGCGTCGCAAACACACACATGCATGGAAACTCGTTAGAAACGCCGAAAATTTGACCTAATTCTTCTAAAAAGTGACACGAATACTCAGGCAGAACTACTATATCTTTCACAATATAAGAAAGCTTCAAAAACTAAACAATATGCTCTAAAAGTTAAACGGCGGCAACTAAAACAGTTGCCGGAAAAGAACATGCACGGGCGTCGCAAACACACACATGCGGCATGGAAACTCGCTGGAAACGCTGAAAATTTGCACCTAAATCTTCTGCAAATTGATACGAATACTTAGGAAGAACTACTATATCTTTGCTCACAATATAAGAAAGCTTAAAAAACTAAACAATATGCTTTAAAAGTTAAACGGCGGCGACTACAACTTAACTGAACAGTTGAAAAGGACACCGGCGTCGCAAAAACACGCACATGCATGGAAACTCGCTAGAAACGCTGAAAATGTGGACCTAATTCTTCTGTAAATTGATACGAATACTCAAGCAGAACTACTTTATCTTTGCTTACAATATAAAAAAGCTTCAAAAACTAAACAATGTGCTCTAAAAGTTAATTAAACGGAGGCGAATTAGCCTACAACAGTTGAAAATGACTTAATTTTCAGCACTTAAATAATAATTGACACTTATTGACTTAATAATTGAAATTATTGTTACGAATACTGAAGGCAGAACTATTCTAACTTTGCTAAACGTTTTAGTTCAATACCAGATAAGAGACAATAATACATACAATTCACGACCAGTTGAATCCAGCTTTCGTCGACGGATTTCGGCCTAAAATGAAACAGTGAAAGACAAAAAAAAGTGTTTAATAACTATGTAAATATTTAAATATTGTTTGAATAATATCTTCGTTCTTTTTATTCAAAGTATTCAGAGATATACACACCTGGCTTTCTTTTGTTGCAACGAAGACGGCCGTTTTCCTTCCACCACATGCGCTTGAAGACTGACTGTCAAATGTCAATCAAACTCAATCTGTCAAAAATGGTCACATGTCCGAAACTGCTGCTTGTGATTGGCTAATTTGGTCATGCGTCATTTCTTGCCCACAATGCAATAGACCACTGACCTGTATTTATTATGGACCAGTGAATTCAATTCTTTATCTGGACTATAACCTGTTTTTGAGTGTGATGTTCTCATATCTTTATTTCACTGTTTGGTAGTGTTTGCAACCTCAAGCAGAGTAAATATAAGCAAATGCTTAATAAATCTCGCAACAATAGGTGCTCAGACGGACGTGAAATCAGTGAAATGCCCTCACTGCCTCCCCCCCTCTTCGCCCCCATGAACCCCCCCCCACCACTGAGCTATATAATAATTCCTTGCATATATTATTATATAGCTCAGTGGCCTAGAAACATGGCGGCCGCTTGACGGCAAATAAACAAACACAAATATTCAATTTTCTTGAATGAAATGTCCGATTCCGATGATGAAACAACGACTGAACACCAACTGAAATTTGTTTTAGTTGGTGATGGCACATCGGGAAAGGTAGCAACATTGATCTGTACGCATTCCTGACTTGTATTGCCCTGGTTTAAAAGCTATAAAACAATGGCCTAACGACGAGCAAACAGTCAGTTTAATATTATATCAGCTTGTAATATACTCGTTCATCTTACCTGTTTGTTTGTTTACTAGAATCACTTCAATCAGATGAATGCGAATTCTCCAAATACATATCCTCGGATTTGAAACTCGCCAATACACACAACGCTACCCTCAGCAGTCAGCCCTCAGGGCTGCAATGCATGCTGTGTTTAATTTACTGGCTTTTATAGCTTTTGAAAATTCTCTCTTTACCAGAATGATAAAAGTTGATAAAATGCTAAGCCATACTGTCATTGAAATCAACTGTAGCTTATAGTTTTTAAATCCTGTTATTAATGAATAATGATAGCATTGTAATGTACTTGTGTTTCAGACGTCAATAGCTGTTAGATATACCTCAGAAAACTTTGAACAGGCATACAAGCAAACAATAGGACTGGATTTCTTCTTAAAAAGGATTGTTTTAGCAGGTCAGGTTTTCTGCCTAAAAGGAGTGAACAAAATCTAGAATTGTTTATTTATGGAATATGAATAAAACAAATGTTATGGCTTCTTCTTAGGCAATATAAATGTCTCAATACAACTGTGGGATATTGGTGGACAGACGATTGGTGGCAAAATGATTGAGACTTACCTCTCTGGGGCACAGGTGACTTGCAGAGAGTACATGTGTAAAAAGTTGTTTCTATAATTCTCACCCATTTGCCAACACTGAGCACTACTATTGTATTGCATAGGCTGTGCTGTTTGTTTATGATATAACAAACCAAAGCACTTTTGATAACCTTGAAGACTGGTGGGAGACAGTTAAAGGTAGTTTCAAAGGAAAGGATTCTAATGCAATGCCAAGTTTTGCACTTATTGCAAACAAAGGTGATCTGGAACACATGAGAGTTGTAAAGCAAGAACGTCATGCAAAGTTTGCTCAGGATCATGGAATGTCAAGGCAAGGAAAAGCTCCTGAATAAAGAAATAGCTATTAAATAAATTTGACTGAAATATTTTGATTTCTAATGAGATACTATTGTTTTATAGTCACTGTCTTTCAGCAAAATCAGGAGACCAGGTATTGGAAGGAAAATAACTATTTTCTTTTGAATTCCAGCTGAAAATCTAATTAGATTTTATCTTTGTAGGTTAGACACTGTTTTCAGAAAATTGCAGCAGATATGTTGGGTATCAGATTGACCAAGAATGAATTGGAAAAAACCAATGTATCCTCTTAACTGAGTTTCTCTCAATCCTTCTTAAAATATTTCAGTCAGAAAATCATTTTTGTTACCTTCTTAACATTATTTCAGCAAGTTCTGAAAGCTGGTGTTGTTCAATATGCCAATAATGAGCTACCAGCCAGACCTGTGACACAACAGAAGAGCTCATTTTGCACTTTACAGTAACTGTAATATAAGAACTTCTAAATCCTATTTATTATAACATATTTGTAAATGAATGGACAAGTATTTTTTAAAAAAACTTTGTGTCTAGGTTTTAGAGTTGGACACAGTAGCAGTAATATTTAAGATGTCATACCTTGACTTCCTAGCCTACAAAATTTGTCTAAACCTGGTAATTTAGTGTATTAAGTATGTTAGAGCTAAAGTAATAAATATTCTAAGACATTTGATGTATCATTTGTAACTTCAAAATAAGACATTTAACTACAAAAAACAAGACTAGGGCCGCATGATTTGTACTTGAGTTGTGTGTACCTTTAAGATGTTCTTTTTATGCATAAAATCTCTAACACCTTAACTGTTTTCACTGGGTGAATAGCATCTGGTTGGTTTGACAGTTCTTTTAGATCTCTTGGCTGGTTTAATATCTGAATCAGTGCTATCACTTGTCACTCTTGAGGTGCGTTTCTCAGGTTTCTCCTCTTTGGACCTGGATGCTTTTGCTTCGCCTGTTTTATCTTGAGAGTATCTCGTACGACGCAGTTTTCTGGACGCATCAAGACCTTCCTCAGTTTTCTGTGAATTTCCTTGGCGATGGTCACCTTTTTCATCTGGTTTTGTCTTATCTTTCGAGGCGACACGGGCAGAACGACGGTGAGGAGTCACGTCTTTCTGTTCTTCTGTTGGAGTGGAAGTGTCATTTGAACTTTCACTTTCCTGGCTCGTTGAAATACGACGAGAATGTCTTCGCTTTCCTGAAAAGAAATAAGTCGATTGTTTAATGCATCAAAACGACGCCATTTACTGTTAGTACATGCACCTTAGATCACATTTAGGAATCGCTTCGGGGCTAATATAAGCAAGTTAACAGACTCTGTACAGTGGAAAACTAAAGTAGAATGTTTGAAAATCTATTCCTATATAATTCGTAACTTACCTGAGTTTCTAATATCCGTATCGTCCACCTTGGTTTCATTGTCCGACGTATCGTCTGTGGTTGGTGCAATTGATGCTTCACTATCTTCTGAAATCATCCCTTGTGGTAGTTTTATTGGTTTGAACACAACTTCATCACTTGCTGGTACCTGGGGTTTGGTTGCTTCAATATCCTTACCACTGGTTAGAATTGCATCTTCTGTATCTTCTGGTGATGAACCTCCGCTGGTCACAGACTTAGGTTCATCCGAACTGCAATCTTCCGCTTTGCTACCGCTGACGTTTTCATCGGCAACCGAATCCGGAACCTTTTTCATCGTCAATTATTTGGCCAGAGATGCATGTTCCGGAGTTTATGTCAGGTTCCTCGTTGGAATCAATGGTGGTAACTGCGCCAGAATCACCATCAATCTTCTCGCTGGTACCAGCACCAGATTGGTTGGTAATGCTTTTACTTTCAGTATCATATTCATCAGTATGCTTCTCGACTTCATTCTTGCAAAGTTCGTCGTCTTCACAGACTTCGCTATTCTTGTCATCATCAAATTCCATTCTCTCATCGGGGTCATGACAACCATCTGACCTCGTCACCATATCATCACCGGCAGCTGCACCAGATTTATCATCAACAAACTGAGCGTCTTCGCCAGATTCAGCAGATTTCATCTCTTTGTTTTTCTTCATTGCCTGTTCCTGGTAATCTTGATACTCCATATCGCTGTCCTCCAATGACGAAAGATCGCTTGTATGAACTGAGCTCACGGTGATGTCTGAATCTGACAACTCTGCGATATCAATTTCCGAGATTTTAACCTTGCTTTTGTCAGGCTTATGTCCCGAAATAATTTCAGAAATTTTAGCTTTCGGTATCTCTGAATCGTCGTCTGTTTCTTCGTCGGTTGAGAAAAGATTTGGCATCGAAATTGGTTTCTTTGAGACCTCTTTCTGTTGTATTTCTGCGGTTTGTTTTGTAACTTTCTCGTTCGCTTCCTGTTCTTTCTCCTCTTTTGGTTTACTCACTTGAAGTGTTGCAATTTCCGCCTTAGCGACCTTTGACTTGGCAACTTCCTGTCTGTCGACATCCTTCAATGAAAACTCCGCTTTAGTCAATTCTGCTTTTCCCACTTTTGGTGTCAATTGTTTGGACGATTTATCATCAATTTTTAAATGGCTTGTTTCTGGTTGGGCAATTTGTAATGTCGAGCTTTCTGTGTTTTCTATTTTATCGTTAGTTACCATCACGTCTGTTTTACGTTCATCCATCTTACTCCCGGGATTAAAAGTTTCCTTCAGAGTTCCCTCTTTGAAATCTTGCTTTTCTTTCATTTTTGTTTGCGGGATTAGAACGCCTCTAACTTGGGTGTTTTCTCCAGCTTTTTTGATTACGTCTGATTTTTCGATTCCCGGGAGCTTCTTGTCTGAAATTCGTTTAGATTCAGTCATGCTAGCGTCAACAACCGTGGGTTTCCTGGATTCGCTAGTTGAAGATGCTCTGGTTGAAATAGCCTCAAAAGTGGCAAGAGGTCGCGAGATTCCGTCAGTTTCTTTAGCATTACCTTTTGTACTTGTTAAATAGTAAGATTTTGATGTATGATTAACATTTTCTTGTTCTTTGTGAGAACCTGGATGTGTTTCGTTGTCATCTTCTGCAGAAATGTTCATTGCCATTGCATCAGTTTTATCCGTAGTAACAGATGCTTTTGACTCAGATACTTCTGCAGAGATGAGCTCTGGAGCTGGTTTTAGGGTTGCTACAACATTTGTTGTAAAAGCCTGAGATGTTTCTACAGCATTGTTGCCAGTGCTGATAACTGTTTCAACTTCAATAATCTCTCCGCTTGTTCCAGGTGGTGGGGTCTCTGCCATTGAGCCTCTATCAGATTCCTGTGATCTTTCATCTGCACTTGCTTCAAGAAATCTGTCTGTCTCTTGTCTAATGATATCTTCAACTTCCTTGTCACTTAGCTTTGTAAATTCAGATCTTGGCTGGCTGTCAGATTTCTGAGTTTTGTCCTTGTCATATCTTGTGTAGTGACCTGTTTCTATAAGATGTTCCTCAACAAGGTTTTCAATTTCTTTGTAAAAACTGCCACTTTTCTCAACCAGAACTTGCTCAAGTAGACGGTCAACCCCTTTTGATAAAACCTCCGACCTTGTTAAGAAAAAAGAGGCGATTTTAAGCTAAATATTATGCAAGTGGTTTATTTTTTCACGCCCAATCATTATAAAGAGTAATATATTTATTATCATGGATTGACAAAACTACAAGATACTCTACTGATGTTTAGCAGACAGTATCAAGGTAGAGATTTATAACTAATTAACTTACTGATTTATGTTTGCTCTGAGACTTGTTCGAAGCTGATTCTTTGGCAGGTTTGCACTAAAGGTTTGTTTTGATAGAAATGTGGCAACATGACTCTCCACTCTTTGCTTTAGTTGCCGGTATGGCTCCTTAAATTTGTAAAATAATATGGTTCAAAGTTATCACTGATCAACCTTGTACTACAGACACCATGATATCTACAGAACATGGAATCGGAAATTCCCCACTTGTTTCCACCCCTCACCCTAATTCTAGATCAAGGGCATGTTCAGAAATTTCTAAAATTTCTGCATCTTGGAAGGACACGGGTATTTTATCACAGGGCAATCATTATGTGGTCAATGTTGTGATTTACTGGTATTAATTAACTAGTAATCATCCTTACATACATACCTTACTATCAAGTTCTTCCAAACAATCTCGTCTGAACCGGTCAAATACACCTTCTCTTTTGATCTTCTCCACAATATGAAGAATAATTCCTCTTGTTTTAGCGTCATGTTCAACAGCTTGGCTTGAATTTCCAGCCATATTCTTAATGTAGTGTTTTTTACAACTATCTTTCTAAAGTTGGTTAATAAATGTGTTCAAATATTAACTGGAAAATTTCGCATAATAAAGTGGAAGCGTTAACCTTCAATGTTTCTCGAAAGGGCAGTGAAAATTTGACGCAAAATAATAAAATAAAAACGGATTTGTTTGGCAATAAAAACGTTGTGTATTAACGGTAATTTTGTCATATTTTGCTGACGGAATTGACAATGGAACTTCCTCTACTAAGCGTCCCAACTCCACCTGGTTTAGCAGCGATATATTCAACTTTACGCAGAGCATACCCTGAACAATCCAATCCACTTCAAGTGACAGCGCTCGTGAAATATTGGTTGGTTTTTATTGAATAAATTGTGTAATTCAGTCATTCGTAGGCGATTTGAATGTATTTCACAACATTAACTAAAAATAACCATATCTAAAATATTACGTTTGAATAGATAAAATGAAAACCGTATTTGCGCATTTTGATTCAGCATTGTGTCAATAACATTTTACATTCAACCGCGTTTTCAAATGTAATGATGTAATGTAATGGGGTTGAGAACCTCCCTCCTCCCTTTTTTAAGGTCATGCATGGTTGTAACTTTCAGGATAATGGTTATGTTTTCAAAAATATTGTAATATAGAAGTTATCCCAATTGCAAGCCTAAAATGTTAGGCATATTTACACCTGGCAGCGCTGTTGTTAAATTACCTGGCAATGCAACCAAATTTGTTGGAAGGTACAGCCGGGTAAACAATGTGGGTTACATACTCTACTGTATATTATACCATATATGAGCAACATACCTGAGTTCTTCTGGCCCAATGCAGTGGAATGTCATCCAATCCACAGTCAATTGACAGTATACATTACATGTCATTTTTGGACAGGTTGGGTGGTCCAGATCCATTGGATTTCATCAGCATGTTTTCGAATCCTGGCAACCCTCTACATGGTATTCCACCTCACTGGCATTACGTCAGCTCTGGCCTTTCAGATTTACATGGTGATGGGAGAGTGCATGAGTAAGTACACCTTATATTAGTCATTGTGGTGGTCTAATGACTGTGGTCTAATGACCTAGACCAACTATATTGGTGAGAAAACTACTAAAAGACAATTCTATTTTCTAGAGTTCGAAATGCTCATGGTTTAAGTGGTTTTGGCTTTGAGTTAACATTCAGACTAAAAAAAGAACCAGGGCAAACAATTCAGCCATCTTGGCCTGCAGAACTCATGCAGGAATTGGCAAAATATGTTTTTCGTACAAGTAAGTGAGGCCTTCTAAGCAGGTGCAAGTCTAGCAATTCTGCTTGTCAGACACATTTGATAACAAAGTGCTGTTTTTGTTTAGATAACAGTTTACAAATTGGTGATCATGTCTCATGGAACATCCCCTTAGATTGTACCCACTCACGTATTCACACACATAGCAATTCAAACATAAGACACATTTTGTTAGCCGAGGATCCACAACTCTCACGGACACAATCAAGTTTGGGAACACTAAATTTTGTTCAGGTTTGTGTGATGAGACTAAAAGCTGATGTATTGACATTCATTCAAACAGCATTGACATATTTAACTAAGGTGTTGCATCCTACAGATTGTTGGGATTTGTGAAGAAGAGTTGCATGCTGCTCAACAGTGGAATGGGTTTTCAACCCTTGAGCTTCTTCGACGTATTCCATAGTAAGTGAATAATAGGTTGTCTTCAAGAGTGATGAAATCCTGTTCTAGCCGAACCTCAAACAATGATTACTTTTCCCATTCAGTGCAGGAGGACCTTGGCTCATAACAGACATGGAAAGGATGGAGAGCATATTCGAGCTTGAACCTTCTTTACAAGTATGTCTCTGTGAATGAATTACTTTTCATAACTCTTGTTAATTTACTGTTGGATATGTCTTTGGACAATTTCAAACTTTGGATGTTTATAGATACAACAAACTATTTTACCTTGAAGGAAGAAGTTACCAGAGGCTTAGAACGTGAAGGATCAACTTTGAGTGGTGTGAATGCAAAGTGTTACTGGGAAGAACTTAAAGATAACAGCTCAAATGACACAAATCACAGCAACTCGTCATCTGTCATTCAACCTCCACAAATGGTCGATATTAGAAGACATCAAAACTTTAATCGATTTGCAATTCTTCCACCCATCGATACAAACAATATGTCCAGGCATTTTAAAGCTGAAGCAGCAATGGATCGAAGTTCAGCATGTAGTTCAGCAACTAGCGAGATCATTAGAACAAGATCTTGTCATGGTGTTTGTGTGAGATTAAATATAGAAGCTGCAAGTTTGTTGCCACTTGCTTTCAGGTAAAGGGAAAGATCTAGGCTTTGTGTTCTATGTGATCACATTGTTTAATATAGAGCTATCCAGTGGCTATAACAACGCATCCTCCTGTTCCAATTTCCTTGATTGATAAACCATGATTTTTCTTTACAGAGGTCGTTTGAGGCATGGCAGACATTTCACATTCCAAAGTTCCAACTCGGACATTGCTATCACATTAGTGTCAAGCTCTGTGACTGGATCAATAGCAACTAAAGAGCATCCATATTCTGCCTGTGGTAATTGGTTACAGGTGTGTAAAGTTGACGTCTTAATGTAGGGATTGGATCATTGCCAAATATACATAAGAAATTCTTGTTTCTTCCAGCTATTTGTTGGTGATGAATTAATTGGAAAACTGGAGAAAGACCTGGATGAACTGGCCCACCCAGAAGAGGTAAATAGCAACCTAACTTAACCATCCAAATAATGCTAATAATTTACAGAGTTAGCATTTCAGTAATTAATAATAAGTAGCCTTATGGTCATAAATTGTGTAAGTATTGGAAAACTTTTTATTTCAGGTGTCTCTCCCTCGTGAATACACATGGCCGGAGGCTAACCTTGTGATTGTTGTATTACCAGATGAAAATAATTAGCCTGATTATTCTCACTGCAAGTACTTTGTAAGTGGAATATTCACTTTAAGTTTTTCTCTTCTGAATTTTGACCAAATGTTTATATCCAACATGTATGTACAGCTTTGTAATAATAGTTATTTTATTGTGTAAATATTTGGAATAATAAATACACCTCAACTCCTATAATAAAACCATTGTGTTTTCTCCAGCAAAATTTTTCGCAGGTACAACAAAGTGAATCTATTTTTCATTTTGTGTACCGGTAATCCATATTTCAAACAATTCATTTCTACTGGGGCCACATGCAAGCACATAAGTAATAATTTGAATTTTTTATGTGACAAAGAAATAACTTAATTGATGAAATCACTTCCTCTATGCCAACAACCCTTTACAGACCATGATATTACAAGGTTTTAGCAAGAGTATAGTGTTGTGTAATTAGAAAGATTAGTGAATCAAATAGGATTTCAGGTTGTTCTTCCACTCACTACCAGACAAAGGTGGTTTGCTCAAAACTAAAAGTTTGCACAAACAATCTGTTCTCTCTCAGCTGCTCTAATTAGGATAGCAATCTACACTGGTTGGCAACCCCATATATGGAAAAGGACACATGAAACAGTCTCCATGGTTGGCCAAATATATTGTAAAATAAATTCTATAGCATATGGTCACAGTGATTTCCACTGGTGAAACATTTCTCACTTTATGCCACTTGGCGTTCAATACAGTTGACCAAAAAGTACTTTCGGTCATTTTGTATATTTATATCCAGTTCCTCAACTAAATAAAAATTCTAATATTCTTCTCTCTAGAGCTCCCTGGCATCAAATACCTCTAGGAATTCATTTTCACTTCCATTCTCTGACAATCTTCATCAGGTATGAACCAAAACTTCAGAAATTCATAGGACGACCAACAAATTGCACATGATGGAGCCTGGTACAGAACTCGTGCTTGAAGCCCTTGAAAATAGCCTCGGAATCCTTGCAGCTTGTGTATAGTCCTTACTGCATCAACCATTCCTGTCACAAAAGGCTGTTTATGTCCTTGGCTCATGATTGCCCCAACAGCATTTTGCTCTTGAGTGTTTAGTAAAGTCTTTGCAACATCAAGTGGGGTTGTTACCGCTGCTGCAATGGCACCAGCAGTGCCACCTGCTATCAAGTGAGTCTTTGGGTTGTAATTGTGTTGTGGGTTTAAATGTTCTCTCATAAACTCATACACAACAAAATGTAAACTTTGAAATGGAATGTTCATTGTCACTTGTGTTGTGTAACTGCGATAGAATGCAGTAATACCCTCAGTTTTCCACACATGCCTTGTACAGTCCAAAACACCCTGATATGGACTGTTATATACTTGTATTCTTTGCTTGATAACTACACATGAATAAAGAAAAAACGTTGAAACAAAATACAGAATCCAGGTGCAACTCCAACTGTTCTCACCATCAACTGGATTCATAGCAGCATCATGGCATAATGTGGCAACTGCACCAGCAACAGCTATAAGAGAAAAACAAAACCAGATTTCACCTGAATGCAAAGAAATATATAATTTAAAAATGCCAAATCAATTCAGATTGAGAATTTTAAGGATAATAATGAGCCACAAAACCAAAATACTCTTCAAAAATATATTATTTTCATAATTTTGGGGAGAATTCTGCAAAAGAGGTTTAACTAGAAACAACTGTACTTGCTTGTATCTTTTAAATATCCAAGCAAGAAGTTTTCACACACATCTTACCATTAGCAACAGGGTTGTTCTGTCCTGATGATGAACGGACATTGCCAAGCGACTTCCTTGCAACTTCATAAGAAGCAAAATAAACAGCATGAGCTGGACCAGCTCCAGCTATCACAATATTCACACCACGAATTACAGTCTTTGCTCCTTCTTTTTTCGAGATTGTCTTTAGAGCATGGGCAACATTTTGATAAATTGCATTGGGGTTTGGACGTAAGCTTTGCATTCGCGTCTAAACAAGGGCAAATTAATGAGCTGTGTCACATGTAATGGGAATTACCCAATTACTTGATAATACAATTCCTGAAAAAATATCTAGACCTGCTGTGAACACTAAACCTGCAATAAACACTGAAATACCAGAACCTCAGACAAATTTCAATTAACAAATACCTGTAAACTTTAGTCTTAAAGAGCTGTTCGTATTTTACTGTTTATGATAATTTCACTTTTGTTTTTATATGTGATATTCATAATAATTGTTATCAACCAAGTAATGCTTTGTATAAATAGATATGCCTCAGTAATTAATCAAATTATCCATGTTTAACATGTACTTTGTCAAATATTCTAGTTGAAAACACAAGGAATTCTTTAGGGTTACATAGACCACACAAAATCTGTACTTAGAAATAATTCAATTCTTGTTTAGATAAAAATTTGTCAATAGTTACATAACTTGAATTTTTGTAACAGTACAAGACTGCAAATGCTGTTTATGATCAATTATATTTAAGTATTGCACAACATAAGAATAAATGTACAGTAATCAATAATTTTTCAATATATACATCTATACTCTGTGATAATATATTTACTTAGGTCATATCACAGGGGTTGGGTGAAACTGTTATAATAAATGAAGTCATAGTATGTAACTAAATCTACAATAGAACACAATTATTGAGTAGTAAGTTTTATATCAAGTATTTGTGGGAAAAAGGGAAGAATGAGTTCATAAAGCACTTTAAAATTAGAGAAATTTTGAAAGTAATTTATGAAACAGAGCTATGAAATCAGTCAACTCTAGATATATGATGAAATGCTGGTGTTAGTTTACTGCAAAGCAAAAAACTTACTACAGATTTAGGTTAATGCTTTCTTCAAGGAAAGCGTCAATCTGCTTTATAATCGAGGACATAGTAACAGATCTACTAAATATGAAATGGATTTAACTTGATTAAACAAATAAATACTTATACCTTGACAAAATCAATAGGGTACATTACACAATGTTCCATAACTCCGGCAAATCCGCCCGCTAGCATATGTACACCGATGTTCTCTGTTGGTAAAGATTCATATTCCGATTCCTCCATCATTTGCTCACCTAAACTCGCGAGATCTTGCAATTTCCAACGACCAAATTGCAAGCCATATTGACCGAAGTTATCTTCTTCCATTCAGGCAAATGACCGCGTTCTGAAGTGTGGTGTGCACGTGTGTCTCCCCCCCCCCGCGATGACTCTCCTATATTAATATTTCCCAGTGATATTTCCTCATATTTCCCTATGACACGTCATTGTTGCTAAGGCAACGAGTTATGCATCGGAAAAAATATGTTATGTAACTTGCAAATTTTCGCCCTTGGTTTCTATTATACTGTTGCTGCTAAAACTACTGAAAATCATTCGACACAAAATAATTTACTGATCCATCCTTATCAATATCACTGATCAATATAGATCAGTATCTCCCAAAACACCATATAGATGACGTTAGTCGTTAGGTTATGTAATCTAGACTATACAATCTGGATCAATTATCACCAATGATGATAATCATAGATAGAGGACTAACGCCCACTAATAAATTATCCGCAAAATCATTGGTTATTGCAATTCAAAAACTTTTACTAAAAAATTAATTATATATTTAATTGTGCTATTTCAAAGTGTAAATGTATCAATATCATGATATATCTTCAAGGAGTCTTTTTCCTTCTTGTCCACCTTTAGAGCAGTAATACTTCGCCGCATTAACTAAACCAATTGTGAAAAGATAACGCGCATATTCCGTGAAGACTGACTCTAGAAGCAACGCTGATGTATGAAAATTAAGGACAAATCTTTTGTACCAGGAGCCAAGGGCTGGGTTGGCAGACCTATGAATGTACCTTGCAAAAGTCGCGTCCTTAGATGATTGGGGTAATTGGAGAGACAATCATATAAAATACTATTCTACACTGTTATAAAAGGATACATACAGAACTGTCGTCTGTATTTAGCAAGCCATATTCTAGACAAGCCTCAGCAAACAAGGCCGCACGGTCGAAGAAACGCATTCTAGAAATAAAGAAAACTTATCAAAAACTACTGTAAGAAAGTCAATCACGAACAAGCAAAAACCAATTACCCGAAAATCATTAACAAAGCTTTCGTGAACTGTCCAAGAGAAATATGGAGCAACAATCCACGACTCTGAAGAAAACGACGAAACAGAACATTCATAGTTGCATGCCTTCATTTTTAAATATTTTTGGCAAGATTTTTAGTTTTACCTGTTGGCTGATTTGAGTCCCTGAGAGATGGTCAATCCATCTGCGCATGACTTCTGCGCAATCATCGTAATCTAGAGTAGCCTAAGAAAGACAAGACTCCGTCAACGATGCACGTGTAATTCACGTGTAATCCATGAATTCAATGTATACAGGCAAACAGTGAAGAGTTTATAATACGAAGTAGCGATATTATAACCTTGGCCAGCCAGGCTGCTTGATACCATTTTCCGTATGTCTGTAAATATCGACAAGCGTCTAAACCCTTGTCAATCATACATAACAATTGAACACCCTCTGAAATAAATAAAAGAATAATTAAAGGATTGAAGGGACGCAGGAGGGACCTCTACTCCCAAATACTCCTCACCGTCAAGTTTGCCATTTGCAATGAGATTCGTCGCAACTAACTTTATCGTGCTTTGAGAGGCACCTGATGAACGTATCGCAGCCACAAGACACGCTCTGAAAAACAATGAAAGCAATTTCTTAAGATGATGAAATATTGACTATCTTGACTGATGTGTAGCTGAACGATTTTACCTCAGAGAATCTGTGTAATAGTTGCTGTTGCTAGACTCAGTCTCCAGGAATAGTTGGACGGCGCGGTCAGCCTGAGAAAGATGAGACCAATAGTTATCAATTCAGTTATTATGCACGACTCTCTGTTACTATAGGCAAAAATGAAATGCATGACTTCAATTCTGTTCCTAAAATTGGTTAAGAATTGTTCCTAGAATTTGTTTTCATACGAAAGAATTTGCACTCAAAAGTTAATGTAATTTCAATGCGACTCGAGAGAGAGAGATATGGGCAAATTAATGAACATGAAGGCTGAATCAGTTTTTCGCAAATATTTCTAAACATGTGTGCAATACAAATTAGTGGTTCATTACGCACAAAAGAAGGAACAGCAATTGTATGATGAAAGACGCCGTCCTGTGAAGACATCTGGTTTTTCGAAAGCTATTAATTTCATGCAGGTTGTGTCTTTTTGCTGAATCTAATCTAAATCCTAATTTAAAACCAATTTGAGCCATTTTCAGGCGGCAAGTCGATGAATAACATGATGAACAAAACAACGAGAGGTTGTCTTCATTTTCCTTACACATTTAATGGCGATTCCTTGGATTATTTATACGTCGTTCCTACATTAGTGACGATCTTCAATTCTTCAATCGTGTCAGGTATAGGAAATCTAATTGTAGCTCATGTGATTTACACAACGGGACAGTTATGGCAACGAAAGCACGTCTTCACTATAAATCTCACAATCCTAAATCTTTTTATTGCGCTCATTGCAATCCCGTCTTATTTTGTTTTTCTTCTGAGTTTCATCAACAAGGACAGTTGGTGTACTCTTGGTTGGGTATCGTTTACTAGTTATTGTTTTTCCTTTAACATGACAATCGTGAATGTGACTTTGATAAGTTATCAGAGATATTTTTCGGTCTTATATCCGTATCGCTATCAAGCTTTATTGACGTTGGAAAGGCATGTCTATATTGCAATTGCGTCTTGGATCTATGGGGCGATTCTGACATTACCCATTGCTGTGGAAAGCAAATTCGAATGGGGCAATTTGAAAGCGTTCTGTTTTGCATCCAAAGTAATCCTCATCATTCACATCGGGACAATGGTTCTTTGTTATGGTAGAATGGGTTATATTGCATCGCGTCATCGAAGAAGTATCTCACCAAATTCGAAAAACCTGGAGAAACTTTGTAAAACAACAACGACATCCATGCACCTGGTCGGGACAATATTAGTGTCGGCTTTGCCATGGCTAGGATTAGACTTAACGCACGTTTCAAAAAATCCCATCCCAGTTCATTATCTAAAATATGGAGTTTTCTACGCAAGTTGCTTTCTAAACTTATTCCTCTACACGCTGAAGAACGAAGATATATTTGCGGTCGTTAAGAGGAAAGTTAAACGTAAAGTAAAGCCGAATGATATTCGTTTACCCCAAGCAAGAATAACTAACAACCTCCGACCATTCTATCTTAATACTGCTGCTGCTCGAAGCAGACATATTTTGTCGGCAATCATTGAATTGAATGACTAAATTTAATCTTTATGTAACATTTTCTCTTTGAATCAAATGTAAAGTTATTGATCAGCACTATAAAAAACGTCACAGCTCAATAATCTTCACATTAAAACAATCGTGTTAATACAGCGTTGCGCTCTTCATTAATAGAACAAAATGTTTCTAAAAAATGCATTCGTTGTATGATAGTTGTGAGTTGACAAAATCAGAATTTTATTAGGAGTGGGTTATACTCCGGCTAGAAATGGTTGCATGAAATTCACCGGGAACTTTGTCAACTTTGTCCCCCCTTTCCTACAGGGGCGTACCCCCCCCCGCCCGTACCTGTTTCAAGAGTACCAATGTTTCAGCGCATTTCTTCGTGTGTTCGTACGTCGACCTCTTGCTATCGTGCAGAGCTGCACGGCTTAGTTGATGTGTCTAGGACGAAGATTTGTACCAAGGTTATAATTGTTTCTTCATTGGAGAAAGATTTTCGACGAAAGTAATGAAGGTAATTATACTTTTTCTATCTGAACCTACAAATGTACCTGAAAGGTTCTTGAATCACACAACACATCATATCCGGTATCCAAGGTGATGGGGAAACAGTGACATATCTCGGTATTTTCACCCTCGCTGTCCAGTGGGATATTGAGATCCAAGTCGTCATCTATTGATAGTAGATCTAAACTCTTTCGACGAACTCGCCGTGGTTCTGTTCCGAGGTCTGGATCGAGACGAGATGAAGAACGCGATGCTCTATTGCTGCCGTTCTAGAAAATATATGTTATGAAGTTCATGACGAAGATTCAGCCACCGCTGGACACAGGTTTACACAGTTGTGATTAACAAACGATGAAGTACAATATCGTTATTTTCCCTCACCTTGTGAGCTGGACAAGCCTTGCGACATTTCTCCCTTCGTAGATAATGCAAGGTAACTGTCCAAAACTTTAGCTCTCCTTCATCACCAAAAAGTCTGACAAAACAATTGAAAATGATTAGAATGAACTGTGGATAAACGACATTGGCGGCAGTTATATCAGTATTAGAAAGGTTAAGACATGAAGTACTCACTGAGAGGCAATCAAGCAACGCTGGGCGATGCCAAGTGGAGCTTCAGGCATAAACTCTTTAATATCACTGAAATAAATCAATTCTAATATAAAATACTCTTTATTAAGCCGCTCTAATTGAGAGCGTAGCAACTTACTCTGTTAAGTTTGCAAGGAATTCATTCACTTGATCTTTCTTCTCCTGGGAGGAAAGGTTTCTAAAGAAATTTCACGAAAAAAGTTAATACAGAATACTTAATATGCTCAGTTCTTCTACCGAAATCAGTGATCTTGAAACGGTCAGGGAGAAAGATGAATTAGCTACATACAGTTCACCGACATCTAAAGTGTATTTTTCATTCCAAGTTTGGCTTTGTAGAATTGACTTAAACATGAGCGCCTTTCGTGGAGGAAGAAGATGTGGGCACCACAGAGAATCTGGAAACAAAGAAGACGAGTTGCAAGGATTTGGTGAAGAAAAGACGACGATGATTGTAGTTGCGTTTGTACCTGTTAGATCTTGTTCCGACATTGGTGAGCAAGAACGTTTCAAGTTTAATGTCATCATTCTTATTGTACCATTTGAAAACAACAAGAGAGGAACTTCAGACGAATACCAGTCAATGTCGATCACAACGACAGAATCTCGCTGAGTTCTCATTGAGCTTGTTCGTTCAGACTGAAAGTAAAGAATAAATGAGATGATTCTGACCATTGACCTACATTAGATGCATTAACTTGACTGGCCTTCAGTATAGTCAGTGGTTTTGGCAACCAATATTCTAAAGAGTTTGCTTAAACCAACTTGGGTTACCTTTCCTAAGTCCCAGATCTCCACGCCATCGCTAAACTGCAACATCAACTTCAAATTTCCACGTCCTGGAGCAAATTTCATTTTCTTTATCGTTCCTCGATGCGTGCTTTGATTCCTAGAACAACAAAATATCTTCAATCGACGAGTTTTGACACAACAAAAGAACTAGATGAAGATGTCATGAGATGTTGTCAGACACCATTGTCAGACGCAAGTTATGTTAAAAAACGTCCACACTTTCCTCACCTCGACAAACGATGACGAAGATCCCAGATACTGAAATTTCCATCAGCGTCGCCAAGGATGACGGTATCTCCTTTCCAAGTAATGCATGTGATATTTCCCATGCTCCCCTGGGAGACACAGAAACAAAGAATGAAGCAACCTAAAACAGCCCCCGTTGGTACATAGAACAAAAGACACAATAATACAGCCTCGGGAACTCACATCAGGTGGAACTTTACTGCTGTCTTTAACAGACGTTCCTTCAACAACATAATGAAACAACATTCCGTCTGTATTTGTAAAAATAAAGTGTTCCTTTAACCAAATCTGTTAACAAAGAAATATAACACAATTTATTGCAGAGAGATTTTTAAAATACAATAGTTGATGGTACTGTACAGAGCACAGTGCTGAACTGGTCCCTAAACATCACTGGATTACTCTCTATTTCTTACCGGCATAGTCACGACTTCAGGTTTTCCGCTGTCCAAAACATTTGCAGCCTTTTCTTCTGACCCCTCTGGTGTCACGTTTTTGTCATCAGTCACTTGTGTCTGCTGTTTCTTCTTGTGTTTTCCATACTGACTGGGAGACCATTCCTATTAATGACACGTGAACGCTACTATATCACATATTGCTAGAGATCACAGCATATGACGAGACAACAGAAGAATGCAGAGAAACATACCAACGCTGAAATCAACGGAAACTGTGCAGACATTTCACGAAGAAGACCGAGGTGTTTCAAATCCCAGATTTCCAGAGGTTTTTCTTTGTAAATGATGATGAAATATTGTCTATAAAAAAATGCAGACCCGTTTTGTAAATATTTACCCGAGTTTATAAAAACGATTCATTCTAACCTGAATTACTTACTTCAACTGGGAAACTTTAATGGATGTTATTGTTTTTTCTTCAGAATTCTTTGGCAAAGGAACGGGCGTGTTTTGACCTGAGAATGAAGAAAGTATTTGATGATTATTTTATCAAAATTTAAACATAAAATAATTTTAAATCGATGGAAAATATACAGTTCACCTGTTTTTAAGTCAACCATAAAGACCTCACTTCGCACGCTACTGCTGTGAGACCAATACGACCAACTTAGAAAACTTTTTAAACTTGACCAGGCAACACCTCTTGAAATAAAATAATGACAAAAATGTAGAGCAAACCGTTCTTAATCTCTTTCGTTGCTAGAATTCTATTAGAATTATATCACAGAGTATTAAATTAGTTTGCCATAAACCCCTTACCTTACTGGTGCACTGTGGAGATTAAACTCTCGGATCATTAATCCAACAGATATATCAAAAACTTGAACTGCACCGGATGTACTGCCTTTGATAAAATATTTGAGCAGATATTGTATTAGTTGTTCCCTTTTTCTGTATTAGACAAATTGACACTTACCCACAGCAACTAATGGTTTATACTCTGGCCAATTCTTCGTTGTCATTGGTGGACACATCGCCGCACAATTTGGAGACATTTGCACATTGCTTAGCAACCCTATTAAAAGAAATCTGAAACTATTCCCATTACCCCCCTGTTGCATTGATGGGGGGAGTATATCAGATAGTGTTCTTTCAGGGGGGGACGACATCATCGCTGATATGACAGGTGTGTCTGTGGTTGTAATGGGCAGGGAAGCCTTGAGGCATTCATCTGACATCAACATTGCATCTGATAGAGGTTCACCAACAGATTTCACATTCCAGATTAATAATCTTCCATCGCTGACCAGCAGAATTACTTTAGTCTCAGTAATAGGGCAAGCCACAAACCCACTCACATAACTTGATTTGCTCAATCGAAAAGCATCAGATTGGCATTTGTTCTCATATAAAACATCCAAACAAGCCTCTTCAATTTCTTCTCTGACAGTTGGATATGGGTTTGTGGTTACTTGGCGACGACACCTCATTGTAATACTGCCATTGTCATGAAGGGTGTATATGACGTCGCGTTGGGTACATGGCAGTACAGCGTGGGAAAATGAGGGACTGTTGCGTTCAAGATAGATTGAACCAATGGCTTGGTTGATGGCAGTGTCAATAAAGAGGATCTCTCTGGGAAAAACAAGTAGAATCATATCACGACATGCTGGGTGGTAGACCAGCTGTAGACATTCACTCAAGGCTACATTCACCTCTTCCACCCTGAAAAAATAAATAAATCAATTAGTTAGTTCTTTCAAGCATAGAACTAAAAACAATTACCTTAATTCAATCATCGTATATGATAAATTTTTGTCTATTGTACCTATTCTTGCTTTCATTTGCTGCCCAAAGCTTCACTCTCTGAAATGCTGATTTTGAAGGTGTCCTGAGGGTACTGTTATTACCAGAACTTGACAGGTTGTTACTTGATCCAGATGAGGCCTCTGAACTTGTCATGTAGAATCTTCGACCATTGCCTTCTGGGGCTTGGTTCACTGAGAAATCACTCAGAAACACCAAGTACTCCTGGGACATTACTACATGAAAGAAAGAAACTAGTATTAGTCTTGGCAAAATGTCCAGGAAGGATCATTAATTTTCATCAATACCATCTTAACTACCATATCACTTTCAATTACCTATGATATTTAAGGTAACACTTTTGAAACTAGTTATCCTTTTCAGTCAAAGCCATCTCATTTACCCTTGGCATAAGAGTATACTTACATGTGACTTTTGCTGGGCTGAATGGATCGAAAGCAAAGCATATCAGATTTTCTTGGAAGGATTTTTTCCATAACTTGATTCCAGTATCTGCATTCCATAAGATCAGAGAGGATGGTGCGTGCAAGGCTGCAAGAAGATCATGGGAGGCATCCTGTGTCCATAGCCAGTGAAGGTCTAAGACAGGTCTTGAACCATCAGAGAACTCACTTAAAGAAATGCCTTGACTGACATCCCAGATAATGATATGACCAGCAGCATCTGCCGAGGCCAACCGAAGACTGTACGGGCAGCCAAGATCATGATGGTAGTTTTCACGACACCATTTTACCTGATGAGATGCACAAAGATATTATGGGAAAATTGTGCACTGCATTGATTCCAAAATGATCAACTTCAGAAAATTAACTACAATAAATTTTGTGGCAAATTATCATTTAGGGAATCTCACCTTGATAACATTAGACTGATGAAGATCCAATGTTTGAATAATCTACAAAAGGCATCAATACTCTAGTTTTAAAGCTCTAAACCTGATATTAATTTTATATGGTTTATAAACAGAAAAACAGAACAATATGTGTATTAATTTTCTTGTATGATTGCATGGCGACTTTAGTAATTATAATAACTTGTAGGTACACCACGTGTACAATATGTGTATTGTACTTTTTTGTTTATAAAACATATCAAATTAACACACGATTTTTGGTAAATGTATATTACGAACCTGCACTGTTTCAGGATCTACAACCACGACAAAGTTATAACACCCATAAGCAAACATCGATTGCCATCCCCTGAACATAAAAAGAAATTTCTATTACTATAACGATCATTCATGCCTATTAAAATTATTCATTCATAACAACATGGTCCTGATTTAAAGCGATACTATACAGCAAACTTCAAATCAAAACATACCAATCGCAAGATCCTTTATTCTGTACATGAAGTGAACCAGGGATTAGTTTTGGATTCAACTTCATACCGTCGTTTTCTTTGATTCAAGATCAAAAAATCTTTGTTTTTAAAACAGCCATATTTGATACATTTTCTTCCTTTCTTACACCAAATATTTAAAAAGACAAACCGCTGGCAGAAGTGTTCGTGGGATGAAAAGCGATATTGCAAGCTCAGGTAACCAATCAGAAACCGAGTTTACGCAGTTTTCCTGCTTGTCCAATCAGATTTGCTCTGTCTGAAGTAAAAGCAAAACTTGGTGTGGAAGTTTCGACACAGCCAAGGCCGGTGGAAAATATTCCAACAGCATTTTCTGTTCTTACATATTCGGGCAATATTATCTCAAAAACGAGAATTACGTCGATGATAAAATACAGATTGATAGAGAAGATATCAAAAGTGAAATTAATCTTAGACTGTGTAAATCACAGTGGATTACTGACAGAACGGAAGCTGCGAAATCTTGTTTCAGAGGTGGGCATATAATCAGGGAAAACATTCAAAGGAATCGCAGTTTTAAATTCTAGTCGTCGTGCTGCGAAATACGAGTAAGCAAGATTTCAAACTATTTTGGCGAGAATTACTATATGTAAACATTTATTTTTAAGCGGCATATCCTAAATAAAAAATAATGGAAGACATACAAAAAACAAAGAAATAAAATTTGGGACACACACACACATAAAACACACAAGATTACAAACATAACACATAATTAGACGAGTCCTTGACAGCACTAGGCTGCGGCCAGGTAAAATGTATAAATTATAACATCGTCCTTTTCTTTATGGCATTTTGCATTGAAACCATCGCATAGTAAACGTTCTACCGTCGTATATGAAACGCCCAAGTGTTTACAACAAAAATACGACATGGTAAACATGGAAATTTCATGGACGCTGCAGTTCGTGCAGTATGGTGGCCCAGGGCTGCCATATCATATTTTAAATTATTTTTTCAATATATTTTTTACAAATATAAATATAAATCGTCACCAGGTCAACAATTAGCTCGATGTTGTTGTCTTGAACTACTTGAAAGATCTGCATCGTTGGAGGCACAGTTTCCGAGTTTTTTGGGCCAGCTACGACCAGTTTTCTTGCATGTGGCATTCCTTTTGCGACTAGACAACGCTGAAATCAGCGAAAACTGCGCAAACATCTCACGAAGAAGACAGAGGTGGTTTAAATCCCGGATTTCCAGAGTTTTTCTTTGTAATGATGATGAAATATTGTCTATAAAAACAATGCAGTCACGTTTTGTAAATATTTACCGTTTAAAAAAACGATTCATTCCAACCTGAAATACTTACTTCCGATGGTTTCCGTAGCGATATCAACTCGACTCTAGTATCTGCCTCATTTGACGCATTTCATCAACACAATCCATTGCATGGTCGTATATCCATTTGTCCGCGCCAAGAATGGTTTCTGGCAATTGAAAAATGGCAAGCCGTTGCATTAAATAAATTTGCGTTACTTGACTACAAACATCGACTGCAATTTCCTGACCATTAATAAAAATTTCTATTACTTTTATTACAGGTGATAACGACCATTCCTAATGCATCATATGCATGCATGAATGACAACATGGCCGCTATTTAAAGCGATATCAAACAGCAAACTTTATATTAAAACATACCAATCGAATTCGCTGCAGTCTATTTTCTTGACAATCTCACAGGCTAGATGCGATAAGAATTTTCCACGGATGAAAAGTGTTTCACTACCAGTTGCAACCAATCACCCAATCGAGGGAAGGCTGGCGTTGTCAGAAGGATACCGGGCTTCACTTCGACTTATACCGTCAAGATTTCAACTTTTCTACAGAATTCAGTAATCTTGCATAAAATTCGTGGTTGTTAATGACAATATGACAAGGTGTTAAATGGCAATTCTCTGCCGTATTCGCCCGGGCAGTTTCCGCAGTATTCGGTTTTTGTTAGAAGATTACACTATTTACACTATTTTAAGAACTCACCTGGCAATTGTGGTCTTACAGGAACTGTGCAGACATCTCACGAAGAAGACTGAGGTTTTTTAAATCCCAGATTTCCAGAAGTTTTTCTTTGCAAATGATGATGAACTATGGTCTATAAAAACAATGCAGTCACGTTTTGTATAAATATTTTACCCAAGTTAATAAAAAAGGATTCATTCTAACCTGAATTACTTACCTCAACTGGGAAACTTTAATTATATCTTTTCTCTTCAGAATTCTTTGGCAACGAAAGGGGCGTGATTTGACCTAAGAAAATAAAATTGTAAATGAAGAAAGATTTTGATAAATGGTGAATCAAAATTTTGAGATAGGAAAGCGATAAATCAATTGAAAATAAGGCTGAAGTCAAAGTTTACCTTTCTCGCGTCAACCATAAAAGCATCGCACTCACGACTATAGTTTACATCTCCTCTTGTTTCTTAGCAAAAATGGCGGTTTGGATTACAACAGAATTCCAATCGCAGGGTTCTTTATTCTTTCTGTACACGAAGTGAACCAGGGATCAGTTTTGGATTTAATTTCATAGCGTCGTTTTCCGGCTTCGCTTCAAAAAGATCAATCAAGAGGTTCTTCAGCAGTTTTCTTGATTCTGCAGACAGATTTGTTCCGGCTGAATTGTGGTTTAGACAAAGCCAAAGATATGAAGCTGTAAAGAATATTCCAGCAGCTTGTTTTGTCAGTATGTATATTCCAGCATTGTGTTACGAAAACCTGTTTGCTTGGTTGTCAGCAAGTTTCACCCGATTGTATTGTATTGCGTGGCCCAGTCCATTCACTGTATTGACAACCAACGGCTTCCCACTGGTGTGATATCCCTGGATTTTTCGTCTGGGAAAAACAAGTCCCGTTTTTCGATACATTTTCAGTTTTCTTTATTAGGTCTTCGTGAAAACGTTCGAGTGTCCAGCAGTTAAGATTGTGTTGGTTTTTAAATAAATATAATAATGGTATAATACAGATTTAGCAACAGAGAAGACATTCAAGTGATCACAAATCTATAATATTGTCTAAACCACAGTCGATGGACAAGGTATGGAAACTCAGCTACCAAATGCATGGCATATATAATCAGGAATAATCATTCCTATAGGGAATTGCATATTCAATTTTAAAAGTTCTAAAAAAAATACAATTAACAAAATTTCAAAATATTTTGGCACGATATCAGAAATCTCAACTATGTAGCTACCTTTTTCTCAAAAAGAAACTGTTTAAAGTTTGCCGAATTTCCAGACCATATATTCTATTGACTATGGTGTAACTCTTTGGCGAGGTTTTTCTCACAGTAAAAATCGCCAAAGAATTACGACTGTTGAAAATTTGTGTTCAAACTTGGTTCTTATTAAAGATAGAAATTTAAGGAAGACAAGTACAAAACAAAGACAGACAAATACAAAACAATGAAATCAAGAATAAACACAGACTAGAAGAATAAACACAGACTAGAAGAATAAACACAGACTAGAAGAATAAACACAGACTAGAAGAATAAACACAGACTAGAAGAATAAACACAGACTAGAAGAAAAAACACTTATAAGATGACGAAATATACATTTCACCGTGTGTATAACATGTATCAAACAGAAATGAGTGAAAATGAACTAGCACTAGCTGACTTACATCAGATAAAACGATAGATACTTGAAAAAAAAAGAGAATATTCTCTTTTCAGCTAAGAATTAAGTACCTAGGTTTTCTTTACCTAGCTAAAACATTTTTAAAGGAGCTATATATTTGCAGCCAGGTAAAATGCATATATCCATGCCATCTTTTTGTTATGACAAAGAAAAGTATCTTATTTGTTTTGTAAATAAACAAAAGAAATTAAAGGCTTGTAAAGGATTGGTACGCTGCATCTATAATTCTATATGCATTATTAGAAATAATTGAAAGAATGTTTTGGAACGTACGTATAGCCGTATACACGCACTTAAAGCCGTAGTTCAGATAAACGAAGGTTTAAATTTATATCATGCAAAAAAATTCGTTTCTCCTTGTTTGAAGTTATATATATCATATTATATTGCTTTATTATAAAACCTATTATATTTATTACTATTTTAATATATTTACTGTTTAATTATATTTATGTTATATATATATATATATATATATATATATATATATATATATATATATATATCTATGGTCTTTTTTTAAGATATATTGGTAACGAAATGATGTAAAGAAAAATTACACAACAACGTGTTCCTTGATGGAGTACGTAAAAACCTCACATTCAGAGTCCCGACATCAGCAAAGCTTTGGGGACGTTTATGGCGTCGATCATCGTCGCTTGTCACGCGAATACATGTTAACGTGTGAAGAAATTCAGCAGGGAAAAGGCAGGTACCATAAACGAACTGCTTTCCGTGCTTGTCAGTGCGAGTCAACGATGAAAGCAGAACCACGGGACAACATGCTATTATTTTTGTGTAGAAGTTATATCATATAAACCTGTTATATTTAATACAATTTTAATATATTTACTGTTTTATTATACTTATGTTATATAGCTATATTTATGATTTTTTTCCCAGATATATTGGTAACGACACAACAACGTGTTCCCTGATGAAGTACGTAAAACTTCACATTAAGGAAATGCATATAGGCCATAAGCAACAACAAATTTGAGCGTGGAGAAGTTTTGCACCGAAAAGGCGAAAAGGCAAGCACGGTAGACGAGAGTACTTTGCATGGCGAACACCGAGACAACATGTTGACCATGGGGTATAAGAGCGGCACATGCCAGAAAAAAAACAAAAAAAAACACGCCAAATCATCAAAAGAATCCAACCCTATCGTCGATTTTATAAGTATGGTTTAAATTATTTTAAACTCTCACGTGCGTACGTACAGGCACGTACAAAAAACGTGATATAAACATTGATAAATGTATATAAAATAAGTCAGCCTGTCCTATCAACGCATCAGAAACAACATTTCCAATTTAAGCCTACAATGCATGGTCAAATTAATAGTTACAACACTTGTGTGAATTATTGTTTGAAGATTATTTGCTTGTTATAAAATGACGCTTTTTCTATAAAAGTTTCGAAGACATGAAAAACAGCTTAAAGTACGACA